TCGCTGGGCTCGGAGCAGCGACAGCCGCGGCCACGGAGACACTCAAGCCCGCAGGCAAGAGAGGGATATCATGACACATCGGAGAGTGAGGACCTGTTCCAAGGGAACCACCATCATGCTCGAATCCTTACCTTTGACTTTGGGACTTTCTCTTTATTGTTTTCATTCTAAAAAGGGCAATTGCTCCTATCTATACAGATACATGAAATGATATAAAACCTTGGTTATATTTCTCATGCTGAGGGTTCATTGCTGATCACAGACTTCATTTTAGTAATATGAACCAGGACTAGTATATCAAGATAGTTGGCCACTGTTCCTTCGACATCACAGTGTAGCGCTCCAGCCTACCAAATGCTGCTAAAGTGCACGCTCTGTTCGCCTATATCTCAGCTTCCTGGCGGCACAGACACGATGCACATAGTCCCACCTCCAGGATGACGACCGTGATCTTTTAGGCCGGTACGGAAGCGGTGCTGGTGTCACGCGGTTTGTGTTGGACCCTAACAGATCATTCTAATTTCCTCCCGGGGCTACAAATCCAAATCTCCTTGATCCGCTGTCCCTTGAGCCGCCGGTAGGATTCCAATGGTCGATCCACATTCAAGCGCAGTATTTTCGACCACTTAGCGAATTATTTCACATCTGTATTGCTAGATACACGTCAACAACACGTCGTATTTCGACATCAAGAGATTGAAATGAGTGAGTAGATGTCATCTGAATTCAGCTTGCAGGAACCATTCCACTTCCAAGTTATACATTGCTTCAATCCGGCGAAGAACTTTCTGGGTGTGTTTCGGCAGCAACAGAAATCGGTCTTTCAGATCTTCAAGGCGCAGTCTTGGCAAGGAAGCTTGGTGTTTGAAGTTCCGTCTTGACTGCGTTCGACGGCGCTCTGACTTTGGGAGTCTATCTTCCAGGAACTTCAATAGACGGCTAAGCTTCTGTACGCTCGAAAGTCCACCGATACAGAGAGAATATTCAATGGCGACACGGGTCATGTGGAGAAGAGATTCACGATCCTGTGAAAGACGGTGGACAGCAGCGTGGCGGATGCCAGAAACCAATCTTTGCCATTTTTGTATAGTAATAGCGGCTTGACGGCAAGAGCTACACCGTATCTTGTCCCGATGTTCCACCAGGAATTTGAAAAGCCTGTGTAGCTCTAGTTCCTCTGGGCATGTCCACCCAACCATGAGAGACTCCTCCAAGAGCCATTTTTGAACGAATTGAAATGCATCGAATTCGAGATGTCGCTGTATGGCTTGGAGAATAAGATTTTGTGCGCGGAAAGGGATGCTTGTCATTGGAACTCCGAGAAGTGAGTATAGACCTTGTAGGACTGTTGTTCAAGCCCGTAGATTAGTCGGCGCGCTCCTCAATCTGTAGCTTAAACTTACTGAAAATGGTATCGATCTTCCCTCGGCAACATTCAATCAATTGTTTTACCAATCTGAGAGCAGTGCGTTAGTGACAACCTCCAGATTGGGAAGACTGGTCGTGAGTTCTTACCGCTTACTCACAGGCTGAGATAGCCGAGAAGATCTGGTCGAAGTGCCTCCGGCCATATAACGACTTACTGTGAGAGAAACAGTGCTAGTCTCGGGCTGGCCTTGTTTGATGGTCACTGTATCATTCTGATTCCACTGCATAGAGGCACTTGGATGCGATCGCACTTCACACGATTGGCCACGGCGCGGAAAATCCTTGGCTGTCAAAGCTTGGTCTTCCGGCAGCTTTGGCACCTGTACATGGAATGTTCCTTGTCGCTGGCGCCGACTTTGACGCCTTGGACGTGCCATCTTGGAAAAATTGAGAAGACGATGGGTCTCTTGGGTGGGAGAGCAACTGGAAAATTAATCGGACTGGAGTTTTACAAACAAATTTCCATGTGCCGGAGCGAATTAATGGTTATAAATCACGGAATCCATGGAATCATTGTCTGCGTGCGACCAGGGTACCAGCAGAATGTGATAGTAGCGTTGCAATCTCGCGAGGTGGGTGGCGATCGACGAGGAACCAGATCCTGGCCTTGGTTTTCAACTGGTTCACATGGTTGTCCTGAGAACTGGGCTCGGGTTCCTATCGTTGACTTTGCAACAAACGTTAATCTTATTAACAGTTCAACGCCATCACCCAAGACGCCCAGCCGTTACTCACATCAAAGGCCATCATATCGGGTAAAACAGCCATTATTCTTTGTCTTCGGGCAACCTCACAAACGGGAAAAGGATTGCTTTTGCCCGCAAATACCCAAAGACATCCAAAAATATTCTGTTGTATATCGGCATTGTATGAAAAACAAAGGTGCTGACCAGGCTTGATGACATTAATTTCATATAGGAGATCAAGTCCCGACTTTCATGGAAGGGGCTATTGGAAGTGTTCAATTGGGATAACGATTATTACGGCCACCTTTTCAACACCTCAACACCACCTGATCGGACCACAGGCGGCGACCTAATTGCCTTTATCACATATATAATAAGCATCGACTGAATTCTAATCTGCTTTTTATTCTGCTTAGTTTTCCTATCTCTTGGTACACAATGGCTAACCGCTTTTGATCCGCTTAGCTCAAGCAAGATTTGAAAAATCCTTCCCTCATTCTATTGAGTGACAGCTCTGCCATTTGTCCAAACATCTCGCGATGTCTCTTCTCTCTCTACCACCGGAACTGGCTTTGCTCATTTCAAGCCATTTGACTTCGCCAAAAGACCTTCTCGGCTTCCTCCGGACTAGCCAAAAGTTCTACCATCTCCTGACCAATGAGCTCTACCAAAATAATATCCGCTCTGATGGTGGATCAGCCCTTTTGTGGTACGCCAGCCGTGGGGACGAACTGGGCGTGCAGAATATGCTGCGTGCAGGTGCGAATGTAAATCTTCGATCACCGAATCGAGCACAGTCGACAGCTCTCCTGGAGGCTATCAATAACAAGCATATCAGTGTTGTACAAATCCTGTTAGAGAGTGGGGCTTTACCAGATGTGGCCGATGCCCGATCTAGAAGACCCTTGGTTTTGGCGACAAAGGGTCGTAGCGACGTGGCGATCACCAAGTTGCTCTTGGAACACGGTGCCATGGCCGATGCCGTTGTGTTTGACAAGCATGCTCCATTACTGGAGGCTGTCCGGTCAAACCAGGAGTCCAAAGTGGTATTGCTTTTGAAGCATGGGGCTGATATACACATCTTGGACCGTCGGACTGGAATGACCCTCGTGCACATTGCGGCTTCTAAGAACGCCACGCCCGGAATTATAAAGATTCTCATAGACTCTGGTATTCAAATGGAGTCCCAAGACAACATGGGAAGAACGCCACTTCAAGCAGCAGCTGGCCATTCATGCACACGTGCTGTGCGCCTGCTATTACACCTTGGCGCCAATCCGAACTTCAAAAACATGCATCAGTACTGGAAAGGGTGGAGCGCACTTTTCTACGCTGCAACAAATCCCAGCATCCCCGGGAATGGCAGAAAAAGCATCATTCGAACACTATTTCTACATGGGGCTGAGATCGATGCTAGGAACCACGCTCAGAAGACGCCTCTACTCCATGCCATCTGCCAGAGCGCCATTAAACAGGCGCAAGCTCTTGTTGAATGTGGTCCCAGTATTATGGCTAGAGATGCCAATGGAGAAACAGTCCTCCATTTAGCTGTTTCGTCATTGAGCTGGTGTCCTAGTATGTTGGGCTGGCTTGTCGAAAATGGCGCGGATGTAAATTGGGCCGGCAGCAAACATAGTGAAACTCCAATTTTCAGTGCTATCAGGAACTTTTATACCCGACAAGGCATCGAATGTATTCAAACCCTCCTGTCGCTTGGAGCCGATGTTCAATTTCGAAACATGGATGGGCTGACGCCTCTTTCCCTGGCTGTGCGCATGGGGTCTATTGAGTCAACAAAGATTCTACTCGAACATGGGAGCTGTGCCAATTCGAGAGACAAGAATGGCAAATCCCCCCTGCATTATGCTGCCGAAGCACGGAATGTCCACAAGATTGTCGAACTTCTCATTCAATACGGGGCCGATATGAACTCTCGGGATATGCTTGGATTCACGCCATTGCATAGGATTGTCGCCAGAGAAGAGACGTGGGAAGCAGCGGGCGAGTTGTTAAAGGCCGGGGCTGATCGATACGCCATGGCTGATGATGGTAAGTTCCCTCATGATATGGTTCCTGATGGCCCTTGGGCGGAAACGAAACGTTCCTTGATCCGTTTTTACATGCCGTGACTGGTGTCATCACGCTCAGTCATCTTTGATATAGTTCCTAAGTACTACTCATATAACCATTGTAGGGGGCTTGTGGAAATATAAGTAGGATATTGTTAAAGACCATAAATGTACTGTATGTCTTTTCTAGAAGAAAAGCCCATCTCTTCAGCTTTCTCGGGATCCGTCAACCTAAAAAAGAAAAAATCGCGCTGACAAGCTTCTCATCATATGCCTCAAGATTTTTCCAATGGATTGATGATCTCAATCCACCGTTGACTACCATTCACGAATGCTTGCTTAAACCACAGGCAGGTTTCTCAAGGTTCAACGGATCGCATATCTCATCTTTGGACACGCCGACCTCAACATTCTGCCTGAACTTAATCAACAGTTGGCACGCTAATATAAATGCGGAGCCATGGAGGCCCTTCATGGCTCATATGAGCTATTCAACGTTGAATGTTGAGTTTACCGGATATGACCCAGTTAGTCAACCATAAAGATCTTCAACATCACCAAATGGTCATTCGTCAAGGACTGGTGAGTCGTGGATGCAAACCAGATTATTGTCATATTTTCGATATATCAAGATTAATATTTCCCTCATGAAATCATCAATGAGGATGTCACTATCTTTGTTCACCACGGTCAACGATTTCAGGGAGAATGTCTCAGAGGAAATCTCAGGGCGCCGTATAAATAGCAGGCGCACGACCCAGAGACACAAAAAGCCATTATTTCATTCTGCTGCAGTGCTCCAAAAGCCTACCCAACAATGAGTAATTATACTGACGAGGATCCCATGGATCAAGATAGTTGCACGAGAACGAGCGACGAAGCGAATCTCCAGTTGGATCGTGAATTACGACAGAGCGGAGAAGTTACTCGCACAACGACTGAGCCTTCACAGCAAACTATCCCAGTTGGGATTTCACCTGCCTATGCAAAAGGTTGGGACACTACAGATGCATTTCGCGAGCTGTATCAAAATTGGTATGTGACATTTATTTCTATTGGATAAACGCTGAGACAGAATAGGAAAGATGCTATTCTGGGAAGATTTCAGTTAAACCGACAGGATTTCAAGCCATTCTTTGCAGACAAGAAAGATCATTTCTGCATCATAGTCACGGCTACCTCGAACGACAATGGCAATCAGCGAGCTCTGGGGTTCATCAAATATGAGAAAAAGACCGGCCGAGTCATCTTAACCAACTCCTGCATGCAACTTCCCCTCGAGTCTCTCGTGATGGGGTTCACATCCAAGGACGACGACGAGCAGCTGGTAGGCTCCCATGGCGAGGGGCTCAAGCTGGCTGCGTTAATAATGAGTCGAGACGGATACAAAGTGAGCTTGGCTGCAAGCCACTGTAAGTGGAGTTTTGGTCTGCATGGGAAGTATCAGTTTTTCCGTTGCGTCATCACTCCTTCCCGAAAGATGAGTCCCGCCATTCAACGAGAGCCAGCTGATGATATGGAAAAACTGCGCTTCCACGTTGAAAGAGACATCACGGTGGTGATTGGGGCTGGACGTGCCAGTCAAAGTCGACCGGTATCATCTGATACGTTCTTCGAGTGGCTGCAGGTCACTCTCAATATCCGCGGGCTCTCTTATCCCTCCTCAATTGTAGAGACACCTCAAGGAGACTTCCTTCTCGATTCGCAGTTTCATGGAAAGCTCTTCCTGCATGGGATCCTGCTACCAATGTCTACTTCAGGGGTCAAGCACTTCAAGTTTGGTTACAACTTTGCTCTGGGCAAGTTCAGCCGTGATCGTCAAGGACTGATCGCCAAATGTGAGGTGGCAGACAAGGTGCGGCAAATATGGCAGTATGCTCTGCATATGCACGAGCAAACTCTACTTCCAATTTATGTCAATCTCCTCCAGAATTTCCCCCAGGTGGGTGATATTGAACAAGCCGATAGACTTTTGGAGCCGTCTACCAAGGCCCGTATCTGGAAATACTTGCTTCGGGTGACAGGAAGACAGAGATTCTTTCATAGCGAGACATCAAGCGTCGAGGTCAGTTCACGGTGAAATATTCAAGCTGAGTATGCAATATACTAACCTCGAACAGAGTGTGTGTATGATACGAGAAACCACCGGAAAGAGGCCAACGAGACTCTCTGAGGCCCTTTGGAACCTGTTGCGCTCAGGTTCACCGATACGGACTGTCGAGGAGGAGCAGGTAGAGCTTTTTAAGGATGCTGAGGTCTGTGCTTCGCCCGAATCTGCCTTTGCAAAAACAACAGACTGGGCTTTGAAAGCTTGTCTGGCACTTTCAAAGGCGACGAGAAATATTCAAGTGCTCTATGTCAAAGGACCGGTAGGGAAGCTTGATGTGTCATACGACGCCGGACACGGTACGTTGAAAATTCATCGTCGATGGTTGGACTTTGATGCGATGCGCCAGGAAGCATCTTGTCGGGAATGGTTTCCTGATACCATAACCGAAAAGAATGCGCCGTTTCTCTGCAATCACGCTGTAGAGGAGCTTTTGTATCTGTCCATTTCTTCGATTTTCAAAGCATCCTCGACGCTGCGGATGGCTGAGATGAGATACATGCGTCAGGCTAGACGTCTGCTTCGACTTCTGCCACACAGTATCAAACTCGCACCCTACTCTGGAGGCCTGATGGTCACCTGGGAAGACAATGAGGCAGAATCGTTTCGAAAGCTTGGTGGTGGTAGAACAGAGTACCGAGTCGTTCTCCATGCAGAGGAGTGTTTCATCACCAGGTCGGAATTTCTCCACTTGGGCGTAGGTAAGTTCTCCAGTTTACCACCCCGACCCGTGAAAGGAATTGAAAGCTGAAGTGCCACAGTACCGAGTGGAATGGAATTCGCGTCGTGTGGGTGCCGTCAGCAATTCGTCGTTCAAACGCGCCGGTGGTGCGTCTTTGCCGCTTTAGATCACTCCACCAGGTATTATGCGATGATCTCTCTTAATGAACGGTTGGCGATCTATAGCCTTCCATCTGAGCTGGTGTCACCTCGTGGCACAAGCATGGGTGGGCCCGACCACATAACGTGCAATCTGCATTGATCGCCTTTCGTTGATCGCCAACACGAACATAGGACTTTGGAGTTGCAGACCAACCTAATCCCATTTCAAGTGGATCCAGCTCCATATCAGGGAACAACCAAATGGCAAAGAGTCTCGGAGTTTCAAAGGGATGAATGAATCCGTGCTCAAATCAATTAGACCACTACTCTGGGATACCAGCAGATGTTCATTGAGCTTAAAGCCAAAGTATGACGTCCAGGAACTCGCACATAAGACGCAACAGCGGGACTCATCGAGTTCGGGAAGAACAGGCAAAGCTCTCATCCAGTTGGACCGCTGTCTACACTTGACGGTCCTAGCCTCCAAGCCCAATGCGTCAGTTGACCCAGCTATTGTACATTCCGCTGCGGTTTTGACTCACGTAAATGGAAGTTTTACGTTTCGTGGCAGGTTTTTCGGACAAAAACTTTTGGTTGGGATTATCTGCTATGCCCAATCATTAGAGAGGTTTGACCGCTACCGTGGCTGTATATCACCGTGCGCGTATAAGGTAGTGCTATCAGCATAAAATGAGATATTTTGTCGAAATGGTCTGCTATTATTTCGATGTGAGTCCATATCCATCCCAACATACCCCTGGTTCCACTGGCCAATGCCAGCCCAATGAAGTTATTCTGTTCGGCATGAGCTTTTTCTATCCCGCAACTTAGGAAGCACGTACTGCGCTACGGATATTGCGGAGACGAAAACAAGAACCAACAATCGTGCCATTTCACGCCAGGTTTTCAGAAGATTGTCCCGACGGCTTGTATTATGTGAGCTTTGACGGTGATCCTCTGGCTGTGGAGCAGTTTGAATGGGAATTTCTGATTCCAGAAAGGGACTTTCTCCGGTACTCGCGTTCCCGCCGCAAACTGAATATTTCTCTGTCTATCTCTTTAATAATGCTGCGAGATCGGTCCATAGAAGCGACCAAAATGGCTCCTTCGCGCATCCACCGCGCCAGGCGAGCTTCCTCGGCCTCTCGCCGTCGATATTTGGTCTCAATCCGGTCGCAAAGGCAGCACTTTTTACTCTTTGTTTCGGTCTTGTTGACTAGTTTGATGCCGCATGTCTCACCGATACGGTACTCATAGGTGCACTGGTGAGCAAAGCTAGTCCAGCTCCAGTCTCCGCATGAGAATTGTTTCTGATTGTAGAAACACATGTCTAGCAGATTTGTTAGTGCTTCTTCAGTCATAAGATCCGATCAAAAGTCACTTGCTCTGGAATATTCGGAGAAAATTTCCAAACTAGGCAATGGACCTGTAAATGGCTCTTATCTGATCAATTCTCAGTCCACATCCAACCCACTTCATGAACTAGGATTGAATTGGAAGAGTCAATAACCCAATATGTTATGCGAGGATTGTCCTTGAAGTGAGATAGAATACCTAGGCTTGCAAGTATATATTGCTTATAGAAACGCAAGTCAATTATAGGAATGCTGATGGTCAAAAAAGGCGACGCCAACGATCAATTTTTAACTGGGAATTTGCTCAGCTCAATCTATTTAACCTGCCTCCATGCAGTGCACTAATGCGCAAGATCACATCCTTGGGAAACCGCTAGGGTCTATGTAACCATCGCAGTGGGGGATGTAGGCCTCGGAAACCATTACAGTCTCCAGAGGGTAAAGATAATTCCAGTCAGTCTCCGGGCACGCGGCCCCGTTGATGGTTTAGCGTATCGGGGATATCAGAATTTGACCCGGCTACGCACTAGCGACCAAGTATCTTTCTCAGGGTACAACCAAACGATGGACAAACCCAACGCATTCGCTTTTACTTCCTGCCGGTATGGCGTATCGGGTAGTGCGGATAGTAGGAGCTTCTCAATGCCTTCGGCTAGTTTCCACAAATTCTGAAATTGTTGTACCGAATATTGCCATGCTGCGGCAGATCCCGACCGTTTCGATCACCGTCAGCGCCTAAAAATTGGCCAGGCCTCTCTAACTTTGGCCCCCACGCTGGAGCCATGGATCGTCGATCATACTACGGAGATTGGAAAATAAAGTGCTCCCTGCCCATTCCCTTGACCAGCTCTCTATGCTCGTTGAAAACCTCTTCAAAGTGCCTCACGTTCTTGATTTCCCACCTAAATACATTTGGGTAGTCAAGCTACTCGGCCATACTCATGAAATGCTTCCATCTGTGTGTACGATATGATCGGCAAGTGATTGTGTGCCATGGCTTTCACTCATCTTTCCATCCTAAGGCTTTGCTGGTCAGCTAAGATGTCCTGCGATTGGTGATAGCCATCTCCATATCAGAATTCTCCGTTACTGCCAGACGCTTGGTCACGCGAAGAAGGGGTGATGATTGGACAGAATCTTAATAATCCTTGTAGTGAGCACGAAGTCTTTTCACAACATACTCGTCCCCTCTGTGGTCGATCTGACCTCTCATAGTTTTCAATTTTAGCTTCAGCCGGTAAGCAGCTCGGACCAAGAAAAAATAACCAATTGCGAATATCACTCGACTTCCATTCATGAAATTATTACTGAATATTATCCTGCCCCCCTATCCGTATTGTCGACTTCATCGCAGTTTTGAGTACGAAGATGTCAACTCATCGCAAGTATTTTGGAGTCTTTCATTCTCTTTCTCGAGCTTCTCGCAACGATTATCCAAAGTCGTAGCAAGAGACTCGTTCCTCTGAATCCAGTAGGGACATTGTGAGTGATCAGATTCCAGTTCATCGTAGTCTCTTTGAACTCTTGCCAATTTCCCCCGAGTTTCTGCGAGTTCGGATCTGAGTCTTTTATTTGAATCTGTAGTGGTGTCGATCAAATGGTTGCAAAGCTGGTGGTCCTCGATTGTTCCATCGGACTCCTAGCAGGGTTGGTTTGTCTTCTAGGAGGGGACTAAGGGTGAAGTGCCTGACTCACCGAAAGAATGGTGTCGATTTCACGTTGGAGACGTCGTCTCTTAACTGGTCGCAAATCAGTCAAGTTTCGACTGGACATGGTTGCATTTGGCATTATGTCAAGCCAGATAGAATATGGAGAATGAGGCAAGAAGACAAGTAAATTGGCTACCTCCCGACTAGTTCTTGAGGTTGCAATGGCCGCGACAGGAGGGATGCCTTCGGAAGAACAAACTTTTCAAATAATTGACTGGCAGTCAAGCCGACGCGATTTTAAAGGGGCTTCTTGCTTTGATTTTTTAGCCCCCAGCCCGGAAAATACGGTTTGACCATTTGAAGTCTAGCGTGTGCTCAGACGCTACGGGACCCGGGCACGGTCCGCGCGCGGTGGAACCCCCGATGTTTACCCCTGAGATTAGGTCCTTCCCCTCTGTCGTGCCATCGCACACTTCTTGGGCTAGGGATGTGATGATGGCAATACCGCACAAATTGCAAAGTATCGCTGAGTAACCTGAATGACCAAATAAAGATTCCGGTGGGCAGACCAAGAATGTGAGGCATGAGGAGACTTTGAACGAGTATGAGGTCTGGTGAGGGGGGCAGCTCTTGATTCACCAATCTCCGTAGTTCGACAAACCATCCATGGTTCCAAAGTGGGTCTGAGGACCAACAAGGAAAGGAGGTGGCCTAGTTAATCCTCGCCAGTCTTCGGCGCTGTTGGTGATCAAAACGGTCGGGATCTGCCGGAGCACGATCATATTTAGACTCAGTACCAAAATTTCAGGAATCGTAGAAACTTAGCCAATCGGAATTGAGAAGCTCCTACAACATGCGGCACCCGACATAGTGTCATAACGGCAGGAAGTAATGCCGCGAAAATGTATCAAACATTGACTAGGATTATTGAGCGCCGTCCGCTGCCATGTTACATTCCAAAAAAATTGATTTGCAAAATTGCATCAACCTTCGCTTGGGGATCCGACCGGAGGAGTTCCGGGCATCATTGCCGATTGACGGGAAACTAGCCATCAATGAGGGGGGAGCGGCTGAGACTGTCTGCTTTTCCCTCCTCTTTCCCTGCCTTGTCTTGCACAGCATTTTTGAAAATGCCTTAAGACCAACGCATTAATTGACACCAGGTTAGTGGGAATGATGCTGCCAGCGCCCTGGTTTCCCACGGTGCAGCCTCACTATCGCGCGGGAAACAGCCCGAACTGCGAACTCCCACCCGTGCAGTCGGTGACGTCGTGCGCATTCCCGGCTCCGCTGAGCAGACCAAGGAGTGGCATGCAACAGGCTCTTTTATTACAGCCCTTGCCACAACATTCATCAGCTGCGCCAGCGACATCGCCATACCAGCGATTCTACGACTCCGCCTCAGGCTCACCCGCCGAGGGTGGCCCAGTCTCAGATGCGCCGCCATTGGGGCCAGCCCCGGGCAGGCTCTACCAAATCAATCTTTGTCGGCCATAGCCAACCGACAACCACGCAACTACAGTGGAAGCGCGCACATCGCCAGCGTAGGAAGGATCCTAGTTGCGACGCTTGTCGCGAGCGCAGGGTCCGCTGTCAATTCACCAAGGAGACGAACCGTCGCATGTTGTATATCAAACAGGTCCAAGATCTTGAGAAGCAGCTGCAAAATTCCAAACAGCAGTTACATCACCTGCAGACTAGAATGATGCGGCCGGATTGCATGGCCGATATGGATGGAGGCGTTCCGCAGACGATAATCAAGTTGCCCGAAATCGAGCACCGCCCCATGCGTCGGTCAAATGCGCCTTTTCCTCGGGATTTCTCCGACGTGCGTTCCAATCTCCGCTATCATGGCCGTGACATCTTGAATGTGCCGACCCCTTACCGCGCGCGGGGTGCAGAGTCACTGGTAACGGGTGCTGCGGTGGATCTGCCGCAGAAGCACCTGGCAGACCGTCTCTTGGCGCAGTACTTTAATTGTGTCCACTCGGTGCTGCCGGTGCTTCACTGGCCTATTTTCATCTCGGAGTATGAGAAGGTTTATCGGTCGGGCTCGTTGTTGGGAGTTTCCTTTGAATGGGCGGCTGTTCTATTTGGCGTGTTCGCCTGCGGTGCTATTCACACGATGGAGCCGAATAGCGAAGAGGAAGGCAAGAAATACGTTCGCACATCTTGTGGAATTATCAATGTCTGGCGTGACAACTTTAACCTGGATCGAGCTCGGGCCGCTTTGTTGGCAAGCATCTTTCTCTATTCTCCTCGCCCGAATCCGCGCCAAAGGTTGCGTTCCCGATCTCGATCGCAACGAAGAAACGATTTCCTACGTCGCGGGCGATATGCAAGGGACCAGCGACGGCAGTTAGGTCTGGCACGGCTCTAAGACTAGATCACAGCTTGAAGGTATAGGTTACGCCAGTCGGACCACGCCAAATTGCGCTGGCCAGCCGGAGATAGAGACGGATGTCGAGTGGGAGGGGTGGGAGTGAATTGAGAAGACTGTTCAGGGTCTACATAATGAGCAGCATCGCCAGACAAATTGTGGACAGTCGGATATTCTCATAACACAGCCGAAACAGGATGTCTCTTCTACTCCTGCCCCACAAGCGGCCTCTGATACTAACAGGCGGACGAGTTCCGCGCCTTCGTGCATGTCGATGGCTAGCATTATCTAAAACGGGTATTTCTCTACGCGCGTTTTTTTTCCCTCCTCAGGGTTTGTGGTTCAGCATCGGTGGCGAGTCAGGTACCGGATCATTAAGCGACATATATTCCACCGCATTATATCCTTGATACGGCATTCTGGTTCGGGGTTTTGCGAATACTTCAAGTACTTTGAGGCAATGCGTTTATTAGCAGAATATAGAGATGAGATGTTGCATCGTAGCTTTGGTATATATATTGCAACTGGAGACACTGCGAAGTTCAATAATATATCAATAAAAGCCGCCGAAATCCCCATCCGGTCGATGGGGTTGACTCAGTTGCCGGTGTGAGGCCGCTTCCTGGGGTTGCTAAACTTCTTGCGCAGTGGTCCGGCACGTTTATCAATAGAGTCCTCGATCCTTTGCAGGTAGACGACGAAATCATAATAATGGGTGAAGTCCAGGTAGATTTTGTCAGCCTCTTCGCGGACCTTATTCGACAGATGCTCGAAAAGATGGCGCATGCGGTCACACTCTGACAAATTATTGTGGAAATGTGGCTCCCACTGCTGTATCCAATTGGAGAAATCAGTAACAGACTGGAATGGGCGTTGGTAGCTATCCATGTAGCGCGCCTCGGCCACCTCCGGATAGACTCCATTTTGGAGCTGGTAAATAAGAAAAGTGCAAAGACTACCAAATGTAACCTGCTCACTGGGCATGTTGCGTATCTGTCGCTTCCACTCATTCTGTAGATCAAAGGCAACGTGTTTTAGGGTCCGGGTGACTTTGCGCTCGTCGGTAATGTACCAGCTTGAATATCTGTCAAAGTGATGTTCCAGGCGCCTGGCGTAATTTTTGAATTCCCCGAGAGAGTGCCCATGGTACACTGGTATGTTCGGGACTGGTAAAGTTTGGTTGTTTGAATTGGCGGGGGCCGATTTTTTAGCTGTAGCAGATTCCCCTAATATTTTCAAATTTGGATTCGTGGGGCCACTCAAGGCGGTATTCTCAGGTTCAACGGGTGAAGGATTAGGCTGGGGCGTACGGAGATCGGGACTGACAGTCTGCTCAGATGGTGCAATAAGAGCAGTGTTTGGAGCTTGGATAATACCAGCTTTGCTATACCCGTTTTGCATCGGCGTAACAAGTACCCTGTCTTGTCTATTGACGGAGTCGTTCACAGCAGGACTGACAGTGGGCGAGCGATCTTTGCTGGAGGTGGCCGCGAGCCGTTTCCGGGCCACCTCAAGCGCTACCTGCTCATCAGAGACCTGCTGCTGGAGCTCAATGAGCCGTCGCTGCTGTATGAGGTTTGCGAGCTGCGCCTGGGCCTCGCTGATTTCCGTGTCGAGTTCATCCGCGGGCTGGGACTGCGTAGGGTTAGGCTCGAGGGATTCGGTCAGCCGCGCCCATGGTGCTTGAATCGGCGGAGGAGTCTCGGCGGAGGAGTCGTGATTTCCGCGCTCTTTCTCTTCCGGCGACATTATCGTACTGAGGGGGATTCGTTTTGTTTCGAGGTTATCCCAGAAACCCGTTCTATAGTCATGTGGTGGTAAGATACGACAATGAATCACGTGTATAGCTCGATGATAAGTTGATATCTCAGCATGGGTGTGGTTTAACTAACTAACGCGCAGTTGAAACCAGGCCTGGTGGGATATTGTTTAAAATAACAACCTCGGTATGGCTCATTCTATAATATACCCTCGAGCATGATATCTCACCCAATCTGTATTATTGATCGAACTGCCAAGAGACAGTCAGGTAGTCCAGGGTCCAAAGACAAGCTGAAGTTGCACAATTTTCCACAACAATCTCCAGATGGTACAATCATCAAATTGACTATAACATTTTTGTTTTCAGTGAGCTGTTGGCAGCTTTTTCCCCCTTTGATAATTCCGATATTGGTCAACACGTTGGTGGAGGGACGTTTGATCAAGCCTCCTGGTGAGAGACTCATTCCCAGGTGTTGAGGTCTATGAACTTGTGGACCCGAGAGAATGTGGCCAGCCATCAACGGCCGTTGAATGCCCGTGTGATCGTGATACAAGGGTGGGTACACTTATCACAGCATAATGTCTGGTTTCAGTTTGCACAAGCCTCACAATTTCTGAGGCATCAATTCAAAGCCTTAAGCCACTACTCGGATATTCAGTAGGAAAGAAACGGTGTTCTCAGAATCCTAGTGATACACTTGCCAATCTCAAAATGTTTTCTCATTGATCTGACTAATTCTATCGAATCGGAGACTGTATGCCAATTCCACCGAGTTACCAGGTTAAGAAAAAGAAATAGCTCACGAACTATGGATAATGTATTTGATACATCTATCGTTTGGGTAAGATTGCAAGGAAACCTGTGCCCTTCGTCCACGAGACGTTGAACACTCCCCTTCATCAACACACCATCAACATCAATGTCATTGTCCGCTAACGCCACCTTCATTAACCACATACCTATAATATGTCTCCTGTCTCACGAAATGTTATGGGCATGTTTCTTCAACACGCCACACCGACCATGAATACGTTCCCATTTTCGTGTTTGCTCGCCTCGGTTTTTATATACAGTTTCCCTTTCTTAACGGGTGCCAAAGTTGAGGACCTCAATATTTTTGGATGATCAAGTAATGAAGACCTGTCACCCAAGGAAGACTTTCTTTGCCCAAGCTCTACGACCTGTTTAAAGAACTCCTGTCCCGTCTATTTCAAAATACCGCCTGTCCAGGGTGCCATAAAATCCTCAATGCCCATTTGTTTTGTCGAAATGGAAGCCAGCCGTTGCGATTCGAAGCCCCGACCTGCATTACAATATAAGCTAGTCCACACTAATGGCTCTGTCAACCCAAAAATGCATTTCTGCGGCAGCGGAATTCTGCTTTGCTTTATTTACCATACAATTCGGTGCTCTTCATCAACAAGCAATGCGATCACAGCATTGGTTTCTCTCTTATCCAATCTCTTTTGTTTTGGCACTTCTGCTTTTTGCCATCACTTGCTTGACTCGAGGAAGCAGCTCTCTTCTTTCTTCTTCCTGTTGGACCACATCGGAATTATTCTGCACATATGGGGGACGTCCGTATCGGTCTTGCTCTTAGAGAATTCTGGTAGTGGGAAAATCACTTCAGTCATTCTGGGAATCGCACTGGCCGGGATGGTCTGTGCCACCTATTTGATAACCTGGCCAAGGAAGAAGAGACAACGAGTGCTGGTCATTGGAGTGTTTGGAGCATTGGCTTTATGCAGCGTCTCACTCTACAACGCTGTTTTCTCGAGCATGTCTCGACTGACGGCATCTTATATCTTCTTGGCTCTGGTTAATGGCATCGGAGGGTGGTTCTACTCCCGTGGGTCTATTCAAGTCCTGAATCAACGTTCACAGAAGTGCTATACTGTGTCGGGGCATGCCTTGATGCACCTTTGCTCCCTAATTGCATCCATATTTCACGCTTCGGTTTTGGTTTCTTCAGTTTGTATCTGACAGACTTGAGCGCCTGATCGCATGAGAACTCGACCCGGTCTGTTCCTCAGAGTCCATAGAAAGCGTTTTGATGAAATCAATGATGCCGGCTGATGATTCGTGTTGCAATATGAGGCTGGTGCAGATCAGGAATGAAGCCGCATCATCGGAAACAACATCTTCACAACCTTCACGAAGAACGAAATAGACCAAAATTCATTTTGAGCCTCATATCCTATATTTAGTCCCACGTACTCCCTGAGAAATAACAATTATTCCATGTCTAGACTACAACACGTAGGGCTGCGAAGACATCTGCAGGAGAGTCATAGGGACCTAGTTCATTCGAGCCGCGGCATACACATTCGCGAAAGTATGGCTGCATTTCGTTTGGTAGCCAGGTTTAGGAAAAGACCCAAAGTCTCGAATATTGATGTGATATATGAACGGGACGGTATCCTCGCAGTCTGAGTGCGCATGTAAGTTGTACTTGACTACCAGAGCTTCTCAAATAAAACAAATTGTAGAGCGAACCTTTACCGTTTTCATTACTTCTTCGTCAGAGCGCGACACCATACCAACACTCACTGTACTAGGGCAGTATAAACGCCGCATCGGGTACATTTTGGATGCATTCATCGTGTAATGTAAACGATGACTGTGTTCAGACAAAAGAAAAGGGTCCTGGTAAGGAGCATTACAGGGAGTGGTCTAGTTCGTTGAGACCTAGTCTAGGCTTAAAAGACAAGATGGACCTAGCACCAAACGGCGGGACCAGCGAAAGACCGCCCAGCTGGCACTTCGACGCGTGTGGCGAGCCTTTGTGTGTTCCACCACAATACCAGGGTCTGCTTCATGTTGCAGCGGAAACGGAGCGACCAATAGCTCGTGGTATAAGCAGTAGCAGCACCGTCTAGGGTAGAGAATCGCACTATCTCTCCGAAGCTGCATACTGAGTAAATCAGAGTGAAGTTAAGGCACCAATGAAGAGCCAGGGGAGGTTGAAGGTGGAGTTTCGAGGCCGCACTTTGACAACAAGCTGTAGAGCCCTTTTAGACTCCCCGCCACAGATAAAGAGTCTCGAAGCTCATACTCAATGCTTTTCGGGTCTACTTAGTAGTGGCTAGGTGCGAAGAGGATTGTCAGGCGTGCGGGTGTCCCAAGATGCCTGTGTCGGGCTGGGAGTCAGATTCACGAAATCGGCGAAATTGAACTGTGGGCTCGAAGTCCCTAGGGTCGCAAACATACCGCCATCTAGTATAGGAGACTTTGATGGTAAGACTATATGCTAACTTAGAGTAATGGAAGGGGGAAGACCTGATTGCTTCTAAGTATCTAGGCGGGGGTGGGGGAGTCGACCATATACGGTGATAAGTCTGACCTATTCGCTTCTTCGATATACCGGCCGGTTCGTGCTAGTCATAAGTGCTTTCGGGGAGAAATGAGTGGTAGAGAGGAGCCTATCTTCGAGCTCGTATTCTGGTGACTAGGCAGCGGCAGCTTAGAATCGGTTTCTTCGTCAGACGGTTGATAAAAGACAGACGGTGTTTCTAGAATTAAAACCGCAGCTATAAAGGCTGTAAGATGCCCCTATATGCTAGGAGATGATTTTGCCAGCCTATAAGAGCTCTTCCGCGAGACTCGGGGTGCCTTTTTAGGGCGCACTAAGGCTAGATCCGACTAAAGACGCTTACGGCTGGCAAAACTCATCGGCTACATCAATGGAGAGTTAAGGGAGAATGTATGCTTGTTACGGGCTGATTGAGGTGGTGCCTAGTAGGTCGAGGCTCGGAGAGGCGGAGAAGTCAATAGGGTTCCGCAACTACTGCGTAGAAACTCCGCCGAGATGTCGAGGGGCTTGTGGCCGTCCAAGGGCTGGCTTGAGTATAGGCCGTGAAGCGGACCATGTTGGTATTTGAGTTTGGCTAGGCCTAGTCGATACCGTAGATTTAAGGATACCTGGCGCAGAACAAATTTAGCTAGGCTTATTCATAAGGAGCCCTTAGTGGGCGAGATATAGGCTACACTAGAGGCTTGTGAGGTCCAGATTCACTACTACATTCCAAAAATCCCCGAATAGTATAGATTCTTTTCTTCCGCTCGATTCTTACCTAAGCGATGTGGGTTTCGCAAAAGGTCTTCTCAGCCGAACTCGGCTACAACAGTGTCATAGTGGGCGACGAAGGGAAAGGCTGTTCGAGAATACAAAGGGAGAAAGCTAGGGTCTTTACGGGCTGCAGATGTAAGGACAGCTACGTAGGAAGAAGTGGCATATAAATACAAATGAGAAAAGGAGCCCCCGGACTTAAAGCTGAAGATTGCCTAGGCAAATGAGAGTAGGCCAGATCGAGGACTAATCGGATATTGGAATGCTCAGTTTTGTTCCCGGAAGAATAGTAATTATATCGTAAGTAAGGTTTTTATATAAGTAACGGCGTGTGTGGGAGTAAGTGACGGCGAACGCACGCTAAGCTCTAATGCAATCGTGTCTCGCCCCATTCCAAAATGGGACGATACACGTGACTCTACAATGATGTTGGCGTACGTAATCTGAAGGACCCTTAGCAATTTGTTTGTATAATGAAGAGTAACGCGGAATAAGTTTGTTAACTAACCGTGAATCCGATTTTAAAGGTAAATGCAATCCGCGAGGATTTATTCGCTAGGTGGTTGTGTGGATCCGGTCGCATTTACGATTAACCGAGATTGCTCTATTTCTCCCGTTTCAATTAAGATACGTGAGTGGCTGACAACTCGTTGGAGGAGCGGAACCACTAGCATTGCAACATTTTATCAGGCTGAATATTTATCAATGCCTCTTACAGATCCGTCAATTTACTATCCATTGTGCCAATGTGATCTGGATACGGCTCAAACGTGGTATTACCTGCTCGAGGAAGGGACGGAGGAGGATGGCAGTAGAACGGGACAACCGATACACCGTCATTTCATGAAGATGATTCGCTGGACGGAAGAGGAGCGATCGTAAGAAACAACTATGCACGACTACTGTTGGCTGGTCGTCAAGCGTATCTTTAGGAAAGTCAATTTCGACCAGGCTTGGATTAATCAATTTAAGAGCTATAGTCATCTCCTCTTTCCTTTTATGTAAGAAGCCCCTTTTTGCGACGAATCCCATACCCTGGATCTCGATGTGTTTATGACTTTCAAGATAGCTAGCCGTAAGGAGAAAACGTAACGTCAGCTCTATATACCTTTGCCCCCCAAGGCCATTTAACGAATTTATTGCTTCCTCGACCGAGAAGAAGATATTATCAACCTTGATGACGCCTTATCCGTTGGCCCTTGTCCTAAATAATGGAGGGAGCTTGGGTTCAAATATATGTTGGCAGATGATCTCGACCCAAGAGAAAATATCAAAACTCTTATTCGCAACCTATAAGAGCAGCTAGAAAGTCGCTTCCTAAAGACCACTAATTATCGAATCATTTAGACCAATGTTGAGATTTTGTGGACCGTTATAGATACCCCGTTAGTGATAACAAATGTGCTAACAGATGCCTTAGTGGCGTATGGTATAAAACTCGATGATTACCACAACTCTATATATTACGCGATTGGGATTCGTGGGGCTCACTACATCGTCTTCATGTTCAGTGAGATTCAGGATATTCAAGTTCTTTATAGAATCGCTATCAATGGCCGAACAATTGGTCATGAGGGCCCTATATAGCGGTTTATTCGAGTGACATTTTTGATAGGGCTCAGGATTGCAAATGTCGAGAACCATTTTATTGGCATCCAAATAAAGGATAATCTCAGTTGGCAGGATAAATGGCATAGGGAACGTCCAGAATATAGTGCTTACACCACTTTTGAATGGGATTCTAGAAGCAGTGAAATTGTGGCATCACATGATGTAGGTTCTTCTGCTAAATTATCCTGCGAGATAATTTTACTAACGATCACTAGGGTAATAAAATCACAGAACTCGGATATCGGGTTTCTCCTAGGTAGACATACTCAACCTAAATGGCTTGTAAGCGAACCGGATGTTGGCCTCGCTTGCCGGAGAGTACACAAAGCATCGCACAGTAATTTGTACAATTTATTCTCCTGTTCTCCACTAACGTATTTGTTGAAAGGAACTTCAATCTAGTCAAAATAGCACTACAGATTGCCATCAATATACACTGAAGATATACTAGCGGTACAGTATATGTGTGTGTGTGTGTGTGTGTGTGTGTGTGTAATCAATGTACCCTGACTCCTCGTCGAGTTGAAACCCTGAATTGAGGTACAAGTGGGATAATCCAATTCAATCTCTGAGAAATTATCCAGCTACTTGTAGTCGCAGTAGCTCATCTCTCTTCGGCGTAGCGGAGTGGCAAGAGGTTGGTTCAAGGGCCCGAGGGCGCTTCGACCATTTCACGTCCTCCGAATCATTGGCAATCAAACGGCCACCCAAGTCATCCCACAACATTTTGCGCCACTCACTGTCGCCGGGGACCAGACCATGCGAGCGGAGCACAGCCAGGGCTTTCTCGTGCTCTTTGTGGAAGAAATTCGAGATTTAGTCGATGATGACGTGCTGAAGCCTGCTCCCTGACCAGCTCAGAGTCATCACCTGCTCCTAAACTGTTATGAGCGTGCAGGCACTGCAGGCAGACCTAGTTCCAGTTTCACAGAATGAAGTATCTGATGTCAAATTTGAACAATGCAATATTTCTGGTGCAATAAATTTCATTGTCAGCCTGTATTCAGTTATGAATAACTGAGTTTCACATAAACGTAATGTGGATGCTTGAATTCCTGTCAGATATCCAGTCCGACCCCTATGTCTCTCCTACGAGCTGAGGTGGGCCCGGTTCTTATAAGTAGGTGCCGTGTCAAAACGCCAGGGTAGCAGCTTAAACCTCTACATCGATGCCGAAGAACGGAATGGCGTGTCACGTATGGAATGACGAAGACACCAATAGACGTGTGTACCTAGACGCGTATTTTGATGGTGGGGGCGGGGCGTGAAAATAGCGTCCTGGAGGTGGTATGTTGCGACCCAGTCGTTATTTTCTGTAGGCATGACTCCCATTGCTCTATGTACCCGTGGCTGGCTAGCTTTTCCAAGCAGCACCCCTTGGTTTCACTAGAATCAATCATGTCCATTCCAGCAGACTTGGCTATGAGCCCACATTTGAAAGATGCCTATCGAGTGACCTGTCGCAACAGACACTTGATGACGTCTTTTAGTTCCTTGTCTGAGAGGGGCAATGACTCCAAATATCTGTCGTCCTGGGGCACGAGTATCTTCGCTGCTGCATATTGAAGAGGCAGCCAATGAGTGTTGCGTCATATCTCATCACACGCTTCTCTATTGGCATTGGTAAATGGTCAACTGGAGATTCAAATTATATGCGGTATTGCGGAGCACGTCATCTCTCTCATCACCTGGCAAGCGGTATCATAGTATTGGGAGTGTTTTGTATTGCGGCAGATGGTGCAGAACTTGGAAGATATTTGGGACTCCATCTGAGGAGATCACTCGCGAAGTCCTTCTAGATACAGCCAAACATTATCCATCCTCCACATTACAATACCTAGAAAGATACTCACTACAATTGCCGCCAGACATCACCAATATTTAAGTCCACCCTTAACTTGACTAGACTTGTCACTACCACTGCGTTTACCCTGTTACGCCCTCAGTGCGTGCTGCACACTTTGTGATTTATTTTTCAGATATTCATGTGTGAAGGTAGGCAGCTCGTCGAGATTATTTGATCAAATGGAGGCAAAAGGTGATGGCTAGTCAAAATGCGAATAGTCTTGTGTTATTATTCCTGAATCTATTGAATTAGATAAAATCAAATACATCCAATCAGCTGTTCTGGTAGGCTGATCATACATGGGCAAATCTCACACGCTTGGTTCGTAGCCGACTTTGGCTTTCTCCGTAAAGACGGCTGCCCTCGCATATCGTCCTTCCATTCCCGGAAAAGACACTATCCTTCGAGAGTAGCTTAGGGGACTCAGCTTTCATGTGATCTAGAAGTAGATATTTGATGGAGTTCCTGTCCCTGATGCATGCCTGGATCCATGGCGATATCCCATACCGGTCAATGGTATCGGGATTAGCGCCTCTTGAGAGTAGCAGGCTCACCAAGTCTCTGTTAGCCCTGAACACGGCAAGCCAGAGCGCTGTTTGGCCCTCACGATTTGGAAGATCGATCTTAATACAAGAGTGTTGAAGTAGCTGGTTCACGACCGCAGAAGACCCTTTTTCCACGCCGTACCACAGAGCACACATGCCGTTCGCATTTCTCATATTCACACGCGACTTTCTCTTGCGCAGTAAGAGATTGGTAACCCGCTCTGAGCCATGTTTAGCGGCGGTCATGAGAGGAGAAAAGTCATTGACCATCGCATCTACGTCGGCTCGGTAGGAAAGCAAGGTCTTTGCAAAGGCGCGATTGTTGGTTTTAGCGGCCCAGTGAAGCGCAGAGCTGTTTTGGTGCCTGATATTATATTTTATCAGGGTGAGGCGTAGCTTGGGATAAAGTGTTGGGTGTGTTCGAGCAAGAGCAGAAATATCGCCTCCCTGCAAGATGCTAGCTATAATCCAAAGGATCTCTGTTGGGCAGTCGAGAATAGAAACCTGCATGAAATAGTCAGTATTTGGAAGACTCCTCTTATTTCAACTGTTCATACCATGATTTGGGGCGCTGAAGTTCAGGATCGCAAACGGTGACAAAAACTGCTGCTTAGAAGACCTTTGTTGGTTCAAAGATGACGGACGATGGCAATGAAGAGTGATGAAGTTAATGCAATTAAATTCTTGGGCTTTTTTGAATTGAGAATCCCAGCAAAGGCGAGATGACGAGGGAAAGGAGAAGCTTAAATAACACTCTTTGTCTCGGCCAAGCATCAGTTTCCTCCTATCTACTGACGTAGCAACCGGCTAGTGATCCTGGGAGCTCTGTCTGGGCTTCTAGGATTGTTGCCTGGTTCTATAGAGACCAATAGGATACATGGTATTTATGGGGCTGCTTGAATTGAGAGTCTACGACATTGGTGCATTTGTAAGAAATCCATGACTTGGTTCGGTTAGAATAGAAGAGTAGCCCCGAATTTTGTGCTCTGTGTACCAGGCCATGAAGTTACAGACTCAATTGAGGGCTCATTTGCTTCCAAAGAATACCACAAATTCAGCTTTGAACCATCCGTCGACCCATAGCTGACCGACCTTGGAGTATGGGTTCTTCCGGTGCAAATGTAGATGGCTTCAGTAACAAGAATTGAAGGGCGATCAAACGTACTGATAATCCCAAAGTGGCGCTTTTTCTGCTGGACCACGCTTATACCTGAGGCATAAGTACCTGGGATATGGTATAGCCATTGGTTTCCATTTGGGTCCATTCTTTCTGATAAGCCCTTAAAAACAAGCCGATGTCTACTGTCACGATAGTTCCGAGGATATAATCGAGATGTTCATCAAACAAAAAGCAGATTCCGCGCGACCGTGAGGTCACCTTGCCCAAGTGCTATTTTGGTGTGGATGACAAAGGCCGCCAGCCACTTAATCGAGCAACAATTCATGATGACGGAAAAGACTGGGTCAATTGAGTGGGACCGTCTTAGAAGCATTTCTTGCCGCAGTTGAATCCAGTGTCCGTCGGCTAGGGACCTACGTTGACGTGCTACAGATCCAAGGGAGGAGATAATGAAGGCACTCAATGACGTTGTGGACAGCGGCCAAGTGCGATACATCGGCGCTAGCTTGGTTAATTCCACTTTTAATCTGTCCTCCGCGACATCAAATCAAATCCCACCCGGGTGAGGCATGGCGCAGGAAAAGCCCGAAGGGATCAGCGGCCAGCTTTTCATTCCGATATTGTGGAGTAAAGCGCAAGAGGTTGTTGAAGCTGCGATATTTGCTAACTATGCCTAGTACCATAGCAGTAGTAAAGCTCTGTTGCCTGGCGGAAGTTGAATCTCAGTGCAAGAACGTGGTGAAGAGATTTCAAAACGCGTTGAACTAAACCAAAAAAGAGGCTTTTGACTGGAATCATCCGTGGAGTAATTTGACGGACTACAGACCGCCTTGAATATTTAGAGGGTGGGTGTCATTATTTATCTTGATGGAATGGGGAGAGCCAGATTTAAAATCAAACATATGCGGGGAATTGGTTGATCGTAATTTGCAGTACAGTAGATTTCGAAAACGGCTTCCCCGTAGAACACTCACGGCTTGTTTCTCGGCCCGTACCCGAAACCACACTAGGCCAAATTCGGACTAGTGGTAAGCTAACATATATTGTGAGCCAAGCATGGTCAATACCAAATCCAAATTCAAACTAGTGTGGTTTCGGGTACGGGCCGAGAAACAAGCCGTGAGTGTTCTACGGGGAAGCCGTTTTCGAAATCTACTGTATGACCAAAGGGACAGAGAACTTTACTGACCCACCCGAATTTTAACACCGTAGAAAGCGCTTTTGTGAGATCGAAGGATCTGTAAATCTCAAAGAATATGAAGTCTTACATTGTGATTTTAAAGATAACACGGAGCAGTACCTTTGCTTAGCAAAGCAGAGTCAAGACTCACATACTAGTGCAACTGTCTATCATTAATTACCGCTATTCCTCATCATCTCCACAACCCCCCTAAATGCCTGTTGCCGCTGCTGCTCCCAGCCATTGAATGCAATTTTCGAAAAACCGACTGGGATCTGGTCGTCGCCGGCGATGAGCTTCTGCATCGTCTATACGCAACGAATAGGATTGATCAGTAAACAATATACCGATAGCATGGAAATCAAAGTTTCCAGGTAAAATAGGAGTCTCGCTTGAATTTAGACGAAGGAAATCAAGGGGCTTGCTTACCTCATCTGCGAACTCGTCCACAGGAATCCCCTCCGTTCGGTTTTTGGTCATGTCGGGTTGGTGGTTAGCGTCATGAAGCTCGGCTATAAAATACAGTCTTAGCATATTTGTGGGTAGTGTAAAGGGAATATAATAGCTATGATAGTAAATAAGAAAGGTATGAAGGAGGCCTTACTTTTCACCAAAGGAGGAAATATCTCAACCACTTTGACCTTAGTTTCCTTCAGCTGCTCCCTTAAACAAAGAATCCAGTGGTGAAGGGCTGCCTTGCTAGCACAATAGTTAGAGCACCGAAGTATCGGGACCAGGGCGAGGTTTGATGATGTACTGCAAGATGAGGCACCAATCTGTCAGTAGTGAAACAAGTATAAGATATGCTGCGCGAGAATGGTTCTCTTTCTTAGCCTCACGCGCGCACTTACAAGATAAACGATGTAGGCATATCCGATTTTGCTTGAAAGAAAGGGAGAAATCCTTTCGTCAGAGCAAGATAGGCGGTGTAGTTGACCTAGGCGACCCGAATTTATATCAGTCCGTGGTAGACGACGGCAGAGATATAGAGCTATTTGTCTGCTCACCGTAAGTTCCTCCTGAATGCGATCGATGTCGATCGTTTCAGGCTCGCTAAAGATAGATCGTCGCTGAATGCCCGAGTTTAGGAAGACGCAGTCCAAGTCCGGGTGAGAAGCGGTGACACTGGCAGGTTCGAATTTCCTCTGGTCAGCATCTAATGCAAAACAACTCATGATACTACTCAAAAGTCCACAGATCAAATCGACTTACTCGGCCACGAACTGCTGGACTTCATCCAGATTGCGTACATCAAACTGGATACCCGCGGCCCTCGCGGGGCCATGCTTCTGCACAAACAAATCAAGATTTTCCTTGCGACGACCAACCGCGATAACAAAGCTACCCTTCTGGATTAATCGTTCCGCCAGCGTGTGTCCGATCCCTTCAGAATAAGTTAGCCAATGAAGTGTCTGATGAGCTTGCTCTCCAGAGAGCTAAGCACCGGTTTAGGCAATAAAAACCTCCACTCACCAGACGTGGCCCCCAGGATGATGATTTTCTTGTACGGAAAGGCCATGTTGTCCTTTGCAGGAACAGACACGCGATTATTATAATGCACAAATGAGGTGTAGTGGAGTATTTGTAGGAGCTACAAACGAGAATATTCGTTGAGTACGGAGACTGAGCAATCCAGCCTTTAGCTAAGTCCGGGCGGAGATAAAATGGCAATATCAGCGATTACCAACTGCAAAAGATTTGAAATAATGAGCGTATAAGCAGACTCCGCGCCGATTGCACCCCTATCGGCTGTACCCCCACCTCAGCATATTTCCATGACGCCAAGACATGTTCTTGAAGATCATATATTACAAGCCCCACACCCGTTTCAAGCTTCCGTGGCTAACTTGATAGTGCGGCATATCGGGATTTCGGAGCGCCGAGTACCGACCACCGACTCCCCAAACCCTCCCTTCTAGTCTGCCTCACAAGCCCACAAATTTGGTGGTCAACTGATCTGCTGCATCGTTCCCGAATTATTGCAGCATGCAGACCAAACAAACAGGATGTTGTGGTGTCCCCAGTCGTTGGAATAAATGCTTGATTGCTTGCCGTACTGATATGCTAACACGGGGAACTGCTGCTGATTTACTGCTATTGATTGAGACTCCTCGGCTCTGGTTGGCTGATAATAACACATAGGTTGATGGATTATGAACTATCGGTCACGGACAACGTACGAAGAGGACAAAAATAAGAATAATATCGTCCCTAGTCACCACATTGGTTAAAAGTGATTCTCAGGATACATTTTCTCTAGCGATAATACGCAATCTAACATTGTTAGTTTCTCACTAAGTGACTCAAATAGCTTAAGTCTGACAATTGGGGGCGGGGCTATCATGGCGAACCGCCATTCACCTTCACCACCTGCCCAGTAATCCACCTGCTTTCATTCTTCCACAACAGACTTACCGCTTCAGCGATCTCATCTGGGTCCGCAATCCGATTGAAGGGGTTCCGACTTGCAATCTTTTGTATGGTGTCGACACTATTGGTCTTGTTGAAGAGCTCGGTCCTCGTTGCTCCAGGAGAAATAGCATTGACCCGAATGCCCTGCGTGGCAAGTTCCTTGGCCATTATTCGTGTCATCTGGTTCAACGCAGCTTTCGTGGACACGTAAAGTAGAAGCTCTGGAGGCGCCGAACCAGAGTCTGCAAGGTCGGTAGAGATGAAGATGATAGCGCTGCCCGGTTTCATGTACGGGACAGCTTCCTGTTAAAAGCAATTAGAATCTACTCCAGAGTAAAGGGCAGAGAAGTATATCCACCTTCGCAACAAAACAGGGTCCCTTGACGTTCACGGCAAACGCCCGATCGAAGCTTTCATCTGTGATATCTCGCAGGCCGCCTACGGGTACGAAGGCCGCGTTTGGAATAAGCACGTCGATACTCCCAAATCGTGCCACGGTTTCCTTGACCAGACGAATTATTTCTGATGGCTTGGAAATATCTGCCTGCACTGCAAGTGCACGTTCATTGCCGATTTGTGTCACAAGATCCTCTGCCGCCGAAGCATCGGTCAAATAGTTGATCACCACGGACGCACCGTCCCTTGCAGCACATAGTGCAATGGCTTTGCCAATTCCTTTGGAGGCTCCGGCAACGACTACAACGAGGTCTGCGATGGACATCTTGGCTGAAAGGTCGAATACAGGCGAACGTCAAGGAGGAATGGATGGTGCGAGAGTATGCCGTAGATTTCAGGACCTAATTTCCGCTTTTATATTCCTTTCAGACATAACTCTCTTGGCGGTGCATCCGAGTCACTGTATTTGTTGGTGTGAGGGTAAATTTTGAGGATCTCCCCAACCGGCCATCTAACAGAAACACCACGGGCCGGAGGTAGACCGAACGGCCGAACGGCCGATGTACGGGGTCGTTCATCTTGCGCCGGGTCTTGCAACCTACCAGTAGACATATAATCTAGCCGAATAGGATACAAGGCAAACTTAAAAATGTAGCTAAGCTGCGTGGGAGTAAGCAGTACCAGAATCCGCTTAAACCCGTCCAAAATCCAATATTACATAGTTCGCTGAGTGAAAAAATTGGGCCAGAAAAAGGACGTACCGTGGCGCTTTTTCTTCACTGCGGTTCGGCCTCCGATGTGCCAAGCACATTCGGCTCTAACACTACTTTCTGAGTGGCGGCTACTACTGCTGCCAAGCAGAACCAGCTGCCATCAATATACGTATAGTCCTTCAAGCAGCCAGTACACGTGGACCGCATTCCAACGCTTGCCCTATTCTGTTTCATTTTACTTTCCTGTTGCCTGCAGCAGACAGAGATGATGTTCGAAAAATTTGCCAATGTATCAAACTGAGGGTATTCATACCCAGGTAGCAAGCTGGATCTAAAAAGGAAGGAATATTTCAAATAGTACCACATCGCGTTGTTCTTCTTGATCGAATTCCTGATTGGCTTCCAGTGTGGGATTACTGGGATTTACACGGGTTGAATATGGCGTAGCTAGCTCAAAGCCTATATCTTTCGCTACGACAGCCATTATAGTGAAAGTGATCAATCAAGTAATGCTGATTAATTTAATGACGGACAGTGTGACTAGCCACTAGGGAAGCCTTGTAATTTCGATAAATGTGGACGCTGGCTATAGCATAGATCGCAAAATTACGATGCTCACTACCATGTGAGAACGAAATTAGATCATCTATGACTTGCAAAGAGCGCGCTGATCGTGGCAAATAATTGTTGCTTTGCCTTGTGGATCTTTACTCTAATAGACGCATATTGGATCTGGCACCTCTACAGCCAGCTCGCGGATATTTCGCCTCTTCTCTGCGTACTCTGTGGGGTGGCGTGGCGTACGAATAAGATTCGAAGAAATGTACACGTTAATGGGCCGCAGCCTCGTGGCTTTGTTGGCATCTATATTGTGTTAAGGCAACTAGTGTCTGTAGAGCCAGGGATACTAAGTTTTCGGGAGATCTTGTTCAGCTTGTAGCCTTCGTTTCTAGGCCTAGACCTCGCCAAAAACATTTAGAGGGCGGGCATTGCCTGCCCTCCGCCCGACCCGCGAGGGCGGAGGGCGTGTAGGTGCCCGCCCTCGCCCGGCCCTCAGCCCTCATCCGCCCGCATAACCAGCCTCTTGTAATTGCTGTAATATGATCTTCCACGCATCGTATGAAGTTCAAAATTAGACCATAGATTCAAGTAAACTTTATAAGTGTATTTTTGAATTTTGAACTAAATGCGATACGTGAAAATAGAGAAATCGTGTAAAAATGTAGAACTCATATCTTGATATTGGATATATATTTTTGAGATATGCGGCAGCACCACCACTTTCTGAGTGAAACTCTGTAATTTATAAACTATCTAAATAACGCGTTCTATAATATATTTGAAAGTAATTTATAAATTTAACTATTAATGTATTCTACCTATTGAAAGAAAATTAAATATTACGTATGTAAAAGGTCTATAAACAGCGTTCATACATAGCGTAATTAAAAAAATCACGTTTTTTGCCTGTTTGTCTTGTTTGTCGGCCCTCAAAATGTTTAGAGGGCCGCTTGGTGAGGGCGGAAAAAGACCCGCCCGACCCGCGGGCGGGCGATCCCCGCCCTCCGCCCTCAAAATTGTGGGTCCGCGAGCTACCCTCGGAGGGCCGCTCGCGGGCGGGTGCGAGGTCTATCTAGGCCGTCCATATGGGAACGTATTCCTTATACGTAAGCCAATCATTTGGTGCTCTTGGCATATTTGATAAACACTGGAGAATCTTGGCACCTCTGGTTCTTATCAATCTGCTTATAAATATTGGAGTATTATTCTAGCGACCACATCACCAAACCGCGTAACCCCTTTACATAAGATGACCAATCTCGGGATCAGTGGGGTGCGCTCGCCCCGACGCTCCGAGTAGTGCTAAGTTACCGTGGGTATATATGTCGCGACGATGGATCTGCGAAATCACTAATGCAATCAAATCTTCGCATTCTGGATCTTCTTTTTACTTATTGCTTTTTGAACTTCCTTGCTATCTACAATGGCGACAATGAAAGCATGGCAATTTCGGTCTTCAGGCGGCCCAATCGAGAAGAACCTTTTTCAGCCCGATTCAGGGATTCCCAAACCGAAAACCACAGCCAACGAGGCACTTGTTGAGGTCTACAGCACGGCGCTCAATCCAATTGACTACAAGATTCTTGAAGTTGGTCTCCTTACGAAAATGATTTTCCGGTCACCTGTTACGCCTGGCTTGGATGTGTGCGGTCGCGTTGTTGAGATCGGTAGTCAAGTGGACTCCTTTCGTGTTGGCGATATCGTATACGGCTCTTGCAATGGGGTTTTCGGGCACGGAGCCCTTGCCCAATTTGTCCCTGTCTCAACAGATGCACTTGCGTTGGTACCGGATGGGTTCAAAGCCGACGACATGGCCTCCATCGCTACTGTTGGGATGACAACATACCAAGGCTTAAAACCACATGTTAAAGCGGGCGACAAAGTATTCATCAATGGTGGATCTGGAGGCACCGGTGTTGTGTCGATACAAATTGCGAAGGCGCTTGGATGTCACGTCACGACGTCTTGTTCCACAGCCAATGTTAAACTTTGCAAGAGTCTGGGCGCGGATGAGGTTTTGGACTACCGATCGGCCGGAATAATAGAGCAATTGAATGGAAAGGGGCAAATTTTCGATCTGATCCTCGACAATGTAGGATCTCCGTCCAATTTGTACAGAGTGTCGCACGCATTCATTGTACCGGGCGGCAAGTTCATCCAAGTCGGTATGGGAATGAGTTTGAGCGCCATGAAACAGCTCATCGGCAATGTGATGCTCCCCAGCTTTTTAGGAGGCGGAAAAAGAAAGTACATATTTGTCATGGCAAAGGCTAACGGCACCGACTTCGATCAGCTCGCGTCGTGGATGAAGGAAGGAAAGATACGTGCCGTCATTGACTCGACTTTCGATTTCAATTCCGCGCCGAAAGCATTTGAGAGGCTGAAAACGGGTAGAGCGAGAGGCAAGGTCGTGGTCCATGTGAAGGAGTCGTGAGGCAATGTGTGGCGGATCTGACTCCAGAACTATTGTTTATCGAAATGGGGGTTATTTACATCTCTCCTTTTGCTTTTGTACGTGAAATTGGGCATTCCGTTCGTTCTAATATGGTTAGACCTCCGCAAAGCCCATCTCAGCGCTGACAAATCGGCCCCTGTAATTGCTGTATTACGACCTTCCACTGATCGTATGAAGTTTAAACTTAGAATATCAAATTATAGTAGCTATATAAGTATGCATTTCAATTTTAAACGAAATCTAACCGGCGAAAGTTAAGATATTACGGGAAATGTAAAAGTTGATATTCTAATACTAGATATATATTTGGGATTTGTATAGGTGTACTACTACTTTCTAGGTGAATTTCTATAATTTTAAAATCATCTAAATCAACGAGTTTTTCACGTTTTTAAACGTAATATATAAATATAACTAGTAACTAATTCTAAATCATTTAAATTAATAGAATATTACCTTAGGTATAATAGTGAGAAACGGTGCTAAACATAGGGTAATTAAAGAAAACCAAAAAAGGGGTTCAACTTTACTTGGCATCTCGATTTCTCGGCATATTTGCATTGTTTGGGGCCCATTGGGCCCCACAAAAGCCCAGTGGGCTTCTACCTTAGGCCCATAGCCCATCGGTGGGCCCGAGACCGGGCCCAAAACCCGGCCCATTTGCGGGTTGGGCCCGGGTTGGGCTTTGGGCTTTGTGGGCTCTGCGGAGGTCTAAATATGGTGTAGTCAACAATAGAAGTACGACAAAGCTCTATCTAACAGAATTCAGTGGACTCTCAATACTTGCCTGGCTTTGCAGCAACGCGATTACCGCTGTGGTCTGGTGTATTTTTTTGGCTATTGTAGATCGTTCCTGTAGCTTAAAGTACTCGACCCAACGCACGGTCCAATTCCCGGTGGGAATTGGACCGCACTGGTCTAATGCAAAAACTAGTCTAATGCAAAACTTCATCTACCCACCATCTTAAACATGACATTTAGCACCCTTCCCCTATAGTATCTATGGTGAATTTAATATTTACAGAATCGTCTGCTTCCGCACTTTCTTCTCCCGTATTAATATCCCCTGGTTTTGACTTCTCCATTGAGAGAGCGGCTTCTGAAGTAGAAGCCGCAATCCACTTCTTTTTAGCTTGCTGGATTAATCTCTTCCTCTCTGCGTCATCTCTCACTTTTATATGCCTTTTTTGCATTTAAAGAGCTTAGAGGGCCCCCCATATTAACCCTTCGCTTGGTTTTATTGGCATCCTTCCGGCGCTTTAGGTCCAAAATGTTGATGTTGTCCTGCGCATACTGAGCGCCCGCTTCCACTAAAGCAAGCCCACCAGCTAAAAATGGAGCTATTTGACGGCGTAGCTTAGGAGAAATAGAGTCAAGCTCATCTCCAATATCGTCAAGTTTCTCTTGATTTTTTTAGCGTATTTCCGGAAGTCTTTAACGTCTTTTACCGGTGAATTTGGTATAGAGCTTGACGCCGGAGGGGTATCACCATCCCCATCCCATATCTCTAAAACTGACTCTGGAAGATTAGGATCGTCATTCCAACCTAGCTTCTCTAAAGCAGCATCTGCATTTAAAGGATAGATACCGCACCTTTCAAAGCAAGAGCGTATTGTACGGCTTTTAAAAGCTTGGTTCCGAACCCCATGGATGCTAGAAAAAAAGTCCGATTTTTGCTTTACCGAACCACCCCACTGTACTATATCATTATTATTCTTACGAAAATAATGTTTTAGCACCTGAAACGGCACATCGTCAAGCGGCTGACATATATGCGTTGTATGTGGGATAAAACAGTATGGAATAATCAGATTATTCTCGCAGAATTTGATAAATTCATAGGTGAGATGGGAGCCATGATTATCCATAAGAAGCAGCCGAAAACCCGTCTTTGTACAGCGATTTTTAGTGCTTTCTTCGAATGATTGAAGCCATTGAAAGGCTATAGTATCGTCGGTCCAACCATTAGGTGTAGGAGTAATCCAATAGTCGTCAGGGAGGTTGGTAGTCCTATACCAATTCTCCATATGGAATTCACCCTTAACCAAAAACCAAGGTGGCATTACCCAGCCATCGGCAGCAATACATTCAATTGAAGTAAGCGATTCACTAGGCCCGCCAGTTCCAATACTAGCAGATTGACCAGCCTTAGTTGAAACGACTTTTCGGGGTTTTCCTTCGCCAATTGTGAAGCCGCTTTCGTCAAAGTTATAGATATTCTTCGATCCGATTTTTAACCGCTGAATAGTATCACATAGGCGAGTATACCAGGTAGTAAGATGGCCAGGGGTAACTGCTCCTAACCGGTCTTTTTCCATGGGTTTTTGCTTGATATAGGTGTATTTCTCAGGTAGTTGTTTAATAAAGCGATACGCCCAATTTTTACCGAGCTGCCGATCTGGATCATGGCGCCGAAGAATGTCAATTGCGCACTTATAGATCATATTTGAGGTTGGTGGTGTATTTGCAGCATTTAAAGTGTCAATCCAAAGCATTAATGCCTTCTCTTGATCTGGTTCTAGGGCTTTGTTGGGACCAGTACGACTGCTTCGAGAAGTGCGACCGAGGATTCGACCCCTCAGGGTATAGTATGGAACGTCGAATTCCCGCGCCAATACTGAGAGAACAGGCTTCTTGCTTGCATGGTAGGCTTCAATAGCACTACTAAGGCGATCCTCCAAATTTTGAGAAGAAAAAGGCATTTTTGGGGTAGTAGAGAGATGTTTAAAATGGTGGGTAGATGAAGTTTTGCATTAGACTAGTTTTTGCATTAGACTAGTTTTTGCATTAGACCAGTGCGGCCCAACACCCGCTCCTGGGTGTTGGGCCGTGCGTTGGGCCGAGTAGTCAAATATTCAAAAACCGGAAATCCCAAGTACATACTCGTACTGAGTGCAGTATCATAGAACACTGGATGAAACGCCTCAAAACAGGATCTCAGCTGAACTCGAAAAACCTGGACAAGCGGTCTAAGATCCCGATCTACAGTCCCTGGATGCTTGACATCGGATCCATATGCTTGAGAAACTCGAAGCCCGAAAACCTACACTCCACCGCGGGATGAAGTGTGGATGAATATTAAATTGGGTTAGTAGTACAGTACGGCACTGATCTCAGTAATTTACATGTATATAATACGGGTTCCTGACAGCCTCTAGTGGTATTTCAGTGTATGCATGAAAGTTTGATATCATTATTGACAGAATCTGCAAGGTATATCCACGCTCTAAGAAACGGGAGAAAAGGACAATAGCTCATGGAATTGACCGACTTCAGTCTGCATGAGTTCACATATTAGATACGCAGCTAGATGGGGAATACTGGTTGCTGCCCAAATGAGAAATGAGTAGCTGGTCTAGTACCTTTTTCCAAGGAGAGCGGCCTATGCCCCTCTTTTTTGTTTTATAAAGTCCCAGCTCTGAGGGTGAAGTGAGCCAATTTTTCTCTGCATTTTATCGAGAAGATCTTTTTATTCCAACCTAACTTTATCCCTTATTAACATCCAAAACATTCCCTGGTCACTTCAAAGGTCAAATCGCTTCGTTCTATCGCATTCCAAGATGACTGTTCAACATATTCGGGACCTCCTGATCCGTGCCGCCAAAGTCCATCCGGATCGGGGTATCAAAGCCTATAATGCGGGAGATCTCGAGAGCGCGCCCAGGTCCTTGACCTACAAGGAGCTCTACGACTTGGCAATTGCGAATAGCAATGTTCTGCGTCAAACAAAATACTTCCCTGAAGGCTCAATTGTGCTACTTCATTTCGATGATCACCTCGATCTTATTACCTGGTTCTGGTCAACCATCTTGGCGGGATGCATCCCGGCAATGTCGACTCCTTTGCCCAATATCGCCGAGCGTCGCAAAGGTCATCTGAACCACTTGATCACCTTGCTAGACCAGCCGATTTGTTTAACAAGGAAAGCAGTGGTATCCGAGTTTCCTGAGGATGTGTCTTTGGATGTCCTGGACATTGAAGATCTCGGAAATTGCGAAAAGATTCTGGCTGCCAGAGATACCACTATTGCGCCTCGCGGAAAGTCCAGAGATCTGGCCTTCATGATGTTGACTTCAGGAAGTACTGGCTTCTCAAAAGCTGTCTGTATTGAACATTCCCAGACCATCGCCTCTTTGGTGGGAAAGGCGTCTATCACCATGAACAAAACTGGTACATGCATGAATTGGATCCGCTTGGATCATGTGGGCAGCTTGGTCGAGATCCATCTGTTGTCGATGTACCTCGGCAATGATCAAGTCCACGCCCAACCCCAGGACATTGTTCCCAGTCCACTCGCTTTCCTTAAACTTATACAAGACCATCGCGTGGAGAGGGCTTTCGCGCCGAACTTCTACCTGGGGGAGATTTTGAAGCTATTAGAATCCAAGCCGGCAGGCACTTTCGACTTCGATCTCACCAACTTGTCTTACATCATCTCTGGTGGTGAATCAAACCCTACCAATTTGTGTATGCGTCTCACAGAACTCCTTCAAGAGTTCGGCGCCCCTGACAAACTCATTGTGCCAGGATTTGGAATGACAGAAACCTGCGCCGGTTCGATTTACCATACTTCCTGCCCTTCGCACGATGTGGCAAATCAATACAACTTTGCCTCACTCGGCGATTGTGTTCCCGGAATCGAGATGCGTATCAGTCCTTCATTAGAAATTGAAGAGAGCAATCCTGAAACAGAGGGAGCCGGCAGTTTGGAGGTTCGGGGCCCTATCGTTTTCAAATCGTACTACAATAATGCCAAAGCTACAGCTGAGGCATTCACCAGCGATGGTTGGTTCAAGACTGGAGACTCGGCATTCATCGACGCCAGTGGAAAATTAAACTTCGCGGGACGCACTCAACAGGCAATTTGCATCAACGGTATGAACTACCCCGTTCTTCTCCTGGAGGATGCTCTAGAGAATGCCGAAATCGACGGTATATCTGCGGGTCATATTTCCGTCTTTGCTTTCCGGCCGTCTGTTGAGAAGGGGGAACTTCCTGCCATCTTCTATGTTCCTTCCTATCCGTGGAATGATATTAAATCTCGCTTTGAGACCATGAACGCTATTTCCAAGCTCATTTTCGGCCTCATCAATGCTCGTCCAATAATCTTACCCGTCAAGAGCTTGGAGCGAACCACTCTAGGCAAGCTGTCCCGATCGCGCATGAAGAGCAGCCTCGCAAGAGGTCAATATAAGTCTCAGCAAGACGAAAATGCCGAAATGATCAAGAAACACCAAGAATCCATATTCTCACCCGCCAAAAACGATGTTGAGCAAGGCATTATTGATGAGTTGAAGGACATCCTTGATTCCCCCCAGACTATCGGAGCGGAAAGCAACATGGTTGAACTCGGCCTTACATCCGTCAGCTTCATCAAGCTCCAGCATGCTCTCAAGAAGCGCTTCGGGGCTCAAAGCGACATCACACTTACTATGATGCTGTCACATACTACCCCTCGTGCCCTCGCACAAGCATTGGAAGAGGAAAAGGGACCGCATGTCTACAACCCGGTCGCTGTATTGCGGGCAGAAGGAGAGAAGACACCTTTGTGGCTCGTTCATCACGGATCCGGCGATCCCCTCGCTTTCATGCATTTGGCGCAAGGTATTATGGATCGACCACTCTACGCTTTCAAGTATCGCGGCCTTCACCCCGATGAGCCTTTCTTTACTAGCATGGATGAGTGTGTCCTCACCTATCACGCCGCGATGAAGAAGCAGCAGCCTTCCGGGCCTTACGCTATCGCGGGATACGAGGTTGGCGGAGTGATTGCTTTTGAGGTTGCGAAGCTTTTAGAAAGCCAGGGCGACAAAATTCAGTTTTTGGGAACCTTCAACCGTGCGCCTGAGCACTTCCACGCCTTTAACAATGTCAATTTCAAGGACGTCTGTATCCACGTTGCGTATGGCTCTGACCTCTATTCCAAGGAGGTTCTCGCTGCGATTGAGCCTGAAGTCCGAGGACTCTCTAATTCGGATATCGCCTCGCGTGTTATTGAGGCCTCTGATGCTAAGCGTGTGGCTGCGCTCAATATGGATGCCCAGAAGCTGGAGCACGGAACAGACCTCGTTGTTGCGCTTCAGAAAACTGCCATTGCACACACTATCACCGGATCCGCCGAGAACATGAGTGCCCTTTGGTGTGATCCAGTCGAAGGCACAGAGCCGTCTCGAGCCCACTGGTTGAAGGAGGTCCAGAAATGGCAACCTCTAATCAAGGAGCAGATTCTTTACTACGAGTGCCCAGGCAAGCATTTCGAGATGTTGACTCCGAAAAATCTGCCCGGATTTACGAAGATTCTTAAGGCTGCTCTCGCAGATAAGGGGCTTTAGTTTTGCAGAAACTCCCAGGGCTATCACTCTGAGCACAGGCACAATTGCAATTGTCTTTTGTGATGCCTTCCCAAGTTCCTCATCTTGTTTTGATTCTTAGCCTTTTATTTGGGTCCCAAAAAATTTGCAACCCATTCTAAAATCCAAATAATACATCTTCCCTTTTGTCAGCACTGGTATTAGATTGTATACTCCGTATGTTGCGTTGCGTGTATCAAATGGCTTGTAAGTAGCGGGGCAAGCATGTGGATCTTGAAAGCCATGTTCGTGTACTAATTTGAAGATATTTTCGTCTCCAGGCAACGAAAAATAAGCAAGGATTGTGTGCTGCGATAAGTGGGCTGTATTTTCCCCAAGATGAACTTGGACACCGATGGTCGCCAAGACATCGGCGATGGGATCGTCATCGGGGTGGACCCCAGGGCCCGGCTTGCAGAATCGGTGGCTGGACTCGGGAGCGGCAGGTGAAGGAGACGATCAGGTAAATCAGGTGGATCGACAGGGATCTGAAAAATGTTTCACGTTCGTGGCAAAATATTTCCGAACCTCTTGTGGGGCGATCGTGCAAGGATCGTCTCTGCAATGACACTTTACTACGTATTTCATGTTATCCCTGGTATTATTTCATTATTTACCAATCAAGTATGAAGACTGAAACATACGGTGTAAAAGTGTGGCGCGTATGGACGTGGGTTGTTTTAATCTGGGTTGAGAGGTGTATCGCAGGGTCCCTCGTCTTGGTGGCTTGGTGTGGAGTGCGCCATGGCGTCACACGTGTTCGTGGCTGGCAAGAGATCCTACTATAGGACCCTACCCCGTAGATGTTCCCCGTTCCCCGTACCATGATCAAGGTTCCCGGCAATGGACAGATCCGGCCAATCTGTACGTGTTTTTTGAGACGGGCTGCAGGGCCTTCGGGGTAGATTGCCCCCACTTTTTGAGTGAAGAAAACAAACTGAAAAGTAAGACGTATCCAAACTGATTAGAGTATTGATTCATGGCTAGATACGGTAGATGTCACTATGGGAACACCTGAGTCCACAAAATAAATTGATCTCTATCTCCTGCTCTTCCAACATTTGAAGACTGATAACATTTACCCATATCATCCAGTATATCGTATGTATTTGCCGCGAGCTTTGCTAGGACGTCAACGCGCTCGTTTCCATGGACTCCCATGTGACCGGGGATCCAGTGGATACGGATGCGCCAGGCCGCCAGTCGTAGGTTTTCTATCTGGATGGCGATGTTGCGGAGAATCTGCTGCCCGGAGCTGCGTCGCGGGTGGGCACATGCCTGGATGGCGGCCTCGTTGTCCGTGAAGATGGTCATCGTGCGGGCGGGGGCTCTTGAAGTAGCGACGAGCTCTCTCACTAGGTCATCTTTAATCTGGCTGAGTGCGAGTAGGATACCTTTGAGTTCAGCCGCGTATACCGTATCCTGGTCGTCGAGCCTGGCGGTTGCGTTCCCTTTGGATGTGACCGCTGAAGCACCGACGCCCTCGCCCTCTGTTTTGCTCCCATCTGTGTAGGCGATCGCCGAGTTCGGTCCGTAGAGAGGCGTCGCCCGGAGAATCAGATCATGTTCCTTGATGGCAGTATCCTTGTCCGGTGCGATCCGGGTCGCTGGCGGTTGCCACCAAGGGGGGACCGCGAACGGCCGGATCAGCTCCATCCTATTGACTTCGATTCCCTTAAACTTAAGATGTGTCTCCAGTCGTTTGAGTGGCGATACTAGTCCGTATCGTCGTTCTTCGTCGCTTCGTCTAGCGAGTGTGGACCTAAGAGGTGATGCATGTATGCGAAGACAGGCCTCTTCCGCAAGGCGTTGTATGGCGATTCGTGCAGGTGGAACGAACAGACATATCTCCAGGGCTGGCCCGGCAGTCGTCCTGAAAGCACCTGCGATATACTGGAGAACTTGCCGTTGCATCGACCTGAAGGTGCTATTCGCACGATCCTCGACCGTTTTAGAACCGTATGCTCCTTGTGTATACCACGCGGAGCACCCAAATGAGATCTGAGGGAGTAGGACTGCTGTCCACATGCGGCGGAGATGTAGGGTTGAGACGCCTCATGTCATTCCCGCGATTGACCGTAACGCGGCAATTAATTGTGCGGCCTTCTTGCGACACTGCGCGATTTGACTTTCTCCTGTGAGGTGCTCGTCTAGCATGACGCCGAGGTATTTGAGTGACGAGGTGGGCCTAACTTCAACGCCTTGGAGAGTGATGCTCTCGCCAGACGGCGGTCGATCTACCCTTCAAATTGTCGGAACTTCTGGAGCGCTTCAAGCTTCCATCTCATGGCATATGCCCACGAGCCACGAGAATAACCGTCAGTAAAGGTGATCACGTACCTGGAGCCATCTTTGGCAATCGGCATTTCCATAATGTCCGAATGGATCGTTTCGAATATTCTCGATGAGTGCAGACGTGGCCGTCTTGCACGGGAGTTCCTCTTCTGATGCTGCTTACCCGACATGCATGCCGGGCACTGCGGCGTTGCCAGCAGTTGCGCCTGTGTCAGTGGTCGGTACGGAGTGCCGGTCTGCCGGAGGACCACCCTCAAGTCTCCCCGGTTCAGATGTCCCATCCGAGCGCGCCACAACGCTTCAGAGGCCTGGTCCACTCCTTTGCACACATCTTCTTCGAGTATCACAGCTTCACCACCGAGTCCAGAGGTTGACGCTGCGCATTCTGCGCCACTTGACTCCTGAGGGTCGTCGACGTCCATGGCCACCGCCTGCGGTTCCAGGGAATCTGCATGGTCATGGGTCGCCGGCACCCTCGCCAGTTGGACACGCTCTCGAGTTCTCTTGCTCACATGGCACCGCAGGATCAGTTGATCCTCCTCCGCGTGGTAGGCGGTCCCCACCGTCCGTCCTCGGCGTTGCACAAAGACGTTCTGCGGGTGCGCCACCACCGAGTAGCGGTCTCGCAGCAACTTCGGCACGCTGATCAGGTTCATCCCGACGCGTGGCGCGAAGTACACATTCTTTAAGGGGTTCGTTGAACTTCCCCCGGAGCGTGAGCTTCACCGTACCAATCCCTTCGACTTCCACTGGATTGCCCGCCGTGTCCTGCATTTCTTGGCAGTCTGCTGCACCGTATTGACGGACGGGCCAGACGCTGCCTGCAAGGGTGTTGGAGATCCTTTCCTCCGAACCGTCTGCTCGGCATTAGACAGACGGTTTCCGATCGTGGTCGGATTCACTGGATCCTTGTCATTCTGAATGGCATCCACAATCAGGACATATTCCGGTCCTATCTGCGTCAGCAAGATCGCGATGTGTGCTCGATCGCCAATCGATCCGGGCGCGATGGCATTCAATCGATGTACGAGCAACCGTACACGATCAACGAATTCGCGCGCGCTGCCGCAGCGCTCGCCAGTGGTTTCGCGAAGCTGGGCGGACAGCTCGCAGAACGTGGCGAGTTCCATCCGCCGGTATCGTTCTTCGAGTTCATTCCAGAGGTCGCGAGACGTCTCGAGTCCCGCGACATGAATGCTGATATGGGGGGACAGGTACGGAAAGATTGTGTGTTAGGCCTCGGCTTCGCGGCGTGACCATTCACGGTGACGCTCGAATGCCTGGACCTCCACTTCTAGGCGCGCTTCAATGGCTCGCTGCCTCACCGCCCCGTTGAGGTGAGGCTCCACCAAGGGGTGGATGTCTGCCGAAATTGGTTTGGCATACTTGAACAGGCATTCTGGACGCTGAAGGTCGCCCGACACAACATCCCAGACCTGTCTAGCTTTCAGGTACGAGGTCATGAGACGTTTCCAGGTTGCGAAGTTGTCGCTTCCTGTCAAGGGCTCGATGGCTGTGACGACTCGATCGGGCGAGTCGTGAACCAGAGTAGACATGTTGTTGCTTCGGAAAGTGGGGTAGATATATAACCAAGAGGGTCAAGTTGATTCTCAGATGAGTAGAGACGGCACCTGGGAGATTGCTCCCGGGCTCATAACCTGTTGTAGTTTAAAAGAAGATTGATTGTCATTGTACCAGAGGGAATAACTGGGGCTATATATACAATGAGAAGATCAAGTTGATTTTCAATCAACTTGGTTCTTCGTATAGACAATGCGGGAATTAATTCCGATGGTGCGGCTTGATTCCTGGCCTGCACCAGCCTCATATCGCAACACGACTGATACCCCTGGGGATCCCATTGACCGCTGGCGCGGCTGACTCTGATGAGGTTCGTTTGGTGCGGGACTCCTGACGGTGACAGCTTCGCTATCGGTCGATGATTCGCTTGCCGAGTCGACGGAGTTTGTCTCGGCATCTGCCGAGGGCACTTGGAGTGGACGAATCAAAGCGTCTAGAGCTCCTTCGTTTCGACTGCATTCATCAGCATCCCGATATCACAGAACGGAGATTATCCATACTTACCACACACAACATGACGTGCCAGTACCTGTACGTCGCTTGTCCAACCATTCTTCCGCGCAGGATAGATCGGAAAGCGCTCGGCATTCAAGGCAACGCAGGATCACGCATTCGTTTGCTGCTTCCTCGTCCTCGGTCAGACAAAATACACAGTCAATGTCGTCGACCTCTTCACTCAAGCTGAGATTCTGCAGCGTCAAGTCTTGTTCACCCGCCCAGACATTAGTGACCGATGTCAGGATAGCTGGTCGAGCCGGCGAAACGTGCCTTCGAACACTGTTGGTCCGCAGCATTGCGGCAGTGACAAATGGATGGATTGATTGCACTGGCCTGGGGCTGGTTGACAGAGGCACCGGCGGGTCTTGCCTGAGCCTGTGAGGAGGTGAGCGGTCTGTGTTGCTTGATCCCGCTAGGCGTCTCCTGGAGGCTGACGACACCTGACGCTGGCCTGGATGCACAATGGATGGAGAGGAAACTCTAGAGTCATGTGGCACTCGCGCCTGGTTGCGGACGGCTGTTTCATACCACTGCTGGCCAACACACCATGGTGGTGGGGTGTTCGCCGTCCGCATCGCGAGCTCTTATCCCATTACGACTGTACAATTTCTTGTCACAGGTGGGTTCGTCACGCGCCCTTGGGGCTCAGAAGTAGCCCGGTGCACTCAGCGCAGCTTCTTCGAAGCGACAGCTGGAGAGTGCGACGAACTGGATAAAACATCATGTCAACATGGCATGAATGGTGCGTGAATGGATTGCATACCTCGGCTACTGACTAGGTCAACAGATGGAGGAGGCATCTGCGGATACTCTCCTTTGATGCTTCTGAAAGAGGTCATGGACTGGGCTGCTCCCAACAAGAAGCCTCATGAAGTGTTTGACTTAATTGGCGGTACAAGCACAGGCGGGTAAGCTTGGTTACAAGAGCTCTGGATACTTTGGATCTAACTAATTTAGATTGATCGCAATCATGCTTGGTCGATTGAAGATGAGCGCCCAGGAATGTTTGGATACGTACGACTCAGTGATGAAAGATGTTTTTGGGTCTGGGTGGCTTCACAAGCATATTGGGAAGTCTTTGGACTATCTGACCAAGGGTGAATTTACTCCGCGGGACAGTTAGAAAAATTCATCAAAGGTCTGCTTAGCAAGAAGCTCCCCGTTGGGCAAAATGCAGACAAAACCCTGCTTTGGGATGAAAGCAACCCGTGCAAAATGTGAGCTCGCGGTGTTTCTCTGTGAATGCTGTTTTTCAGCTGACCACCACACAGCCTTTTGATGGCAACGCGTGAAGAATCCGCTAGCAATCGAGGAACTGTCTTCCTTCGTTCATACACTAACGATCTCGATCCGCCCGATGTGGATCTCGCCAACATCAAATTGTGGGAGGCGGCCCGGGCCACATCTGCGGCTCCGGGATATTTCAAGCCAATCGAAGTCGGCCGGGTGAAATTAGTGGACGGTGGGCTACTTGCCAACAATCCTCTTGGATGGTAAAAACAATCCCCTACATCGTCCTGAGCCTTTGGTTGACTTGTGTCTTTTCCCGGTCTATGGACCGAGATTCTCACCTTATATGGACCCACACGGGAAACATATTGTTTTCTTAGCATTGGCATAGGAATAAGAGCCAACGTTGCAGTCGCACAGCTGGGGCTTGACTTCAAATATGCAATGCAGAGCTTTGCGGACATAGCAACCGACACTGAAAACACCAATATTCTTTTCCGAGCACTGATTGATGCTTTTGCGCCCCACGCTCAGACGAAGAAATATTATCGGCTCAATGTTAGCAAAGAGCTCCCGGGGCCGGCTGACTCGAAGGGTATCTTGGACTGGCTCACTCAGAGCAAAGCAGTCCAGGGGTCTGAGCAACCTTGAAGACCCGGGTTCCCTGGATGATGTGGATGCCATTCCACGATTGAAGATCTGGACTGTTGAATGGATCAAAGCGCAGCAAGCTATTATCGAATCCTGCAGCGAAGCGCTTGCTGGGCATCTCGGAGGACATTTGTCCAAAAGCTTCAAGCTTACCGTTCGCCTTTCATTGGTGTGCTCAATCTCAGTTCCCATACTGCCAAAACTTTCGCATTCTCGATACCATCACTCTAGCCTCAAAGCTGTTTACGGTCACTTGTCTGAGAAATCCTGTCATATTTTTCGAAGTAGCATTGGTGCAATGTGTCAATTCTATGTTCAATAGTGAGGCCAAGCCACTACGCGGAACAGGTCAGACTACCAACTTTGAATGGCTTGCTGAATTGCTGCCCCTTGATTCCTCCCTTAGTTGTGAGACTGTACTTGGCTCAATCGCAGTGCGCTCCCCTGGTTGAATTAGCCTTGATCTAAGCCTTGGGCAGAAAGCAACATACGTGTAGAAGTCGCAAGTGACGAGGCCTGGTGCGAATGCAGAGATGTTGATACTGGTGACATCTTTCTCTCTATTGTACTGGTTAGTATAAAGTCGGCAAACAAAGGAAACAATGTATACGGAGCTTTGGAAATCGTACATTCGCCACCGCGACCCTGATATCTATCATAGCCGGAGTGGTACTTGATATCGACCTATATGAATCGATTAACTCTGTCCTGAATGGATTGAGAAGGTTTCACATAGCGACCCTGGCACCACCTGGGCCAAAGCCGGGGCAACAAAGGCAACCAGAGCGAGAGAGGGGACAGAGAATTTCATTTTGGCTGAGATGGAACTGGTTGAATTCAGCCCTGAGGGTCGGGATATCTTGATAGATATACCCTAAGCTCCAGCAAGGGGCATAAATTATACAGCGGATCGTCGGGCTCCAGCTGCCTTGACCGCTACTCCGTGCCTTAAAATGAGGTTTACCGAACTACACATACGTGCCCAGGTGTGTTCCGTGTGGAGTAGAAAAGACCTAAACTCGATAATTCACACTAGTTTGTCCCGCTTTCATTTCCATGCTTTGTCTTTGTTTGTACTGCAATTTTCTTGCTATCGATGTGATTTCTCGTTTCAATTGAATTTCTAGCGTAGTGGATTTGGTCCAATTCTATGCCCAATAGTAGACCTTAAGTCCCTATTCCGCTTCATTGGTCTGGGTACATTTCAAGCTGGCAACATAGAACGGCTTGCTGAACTTCTGGATCTTCTCCGAGTCCTTAGTCTCAAGAGTCCACGTAGCTCCCTTGCAGTCCGCGTCCCTAGTTATCTTAGCATTGACTCGATCATTAGCAAGAGGCGACATACTTGAAAAAGACGCATGAGATTTCGGGATCTTTCTTCTTCGTGTAGATTTCGATACCGACGACCTTTTTCTCTCTATTTCACTGGTTAACGCGAGACATACACTCAGGGAAAGGATACCCACGGGGCTTCGGTGTTTTCGCATACAGACTCTTCGGGGTCATATCTATCGGACCTGAGGTCGCTTTCGATGTATACCTAAACGAAGAGCAGTTGGATCAGCTCTGTAGTGAATCGGGTCTGGAATCTTCCCATACCTCACCAATAGACTTGGCCAAAGCCGGAGCGGCAAAGGCGAACAGAGCAAGAGCGGTGGGGGCTGAGAACTTCATTGTGGATAAGATGAGGATAATAGTCATTCGATGTGGAGTCAGGAAGCCTTTCTTATACCACTTGCTATGGCAAGGGGTGCGAATCATACAGCAACCATCGTGCTCCAGCTATGTAAACTGCTATCCTATTTGGTGGCATGAATTACGGTGAACTGATGAGGAATGCAAGAGATCCCAACTCAGCACCTCAGCACATCTCAGGTACAGAAAGCTGGCTAGCTGAGGATATGTATGCAGATCGGTAGATCGAAGCGAAGGCCAATGGGAGGTCGATAAGCTTGACTTGTGTGTCGATTCCTACCTCATTGGGAAATTATTGTACGACGTCCTGAGCTGCCCTTACTTGGCAATCGAATCAATCATATGCAATGCATATGCACGCCTAGAGTCTTACGGGAAGCTGTGGAGTTCATGGAGAGCTAATTGAAGTCTTTTGTACACGTAGCGTTAGCTTCCAGCCACTCTCATGACTAATTTCTTGCAGCTCCCCGAACTATTGAATGCAAGTCCATAATTGCTTTTTTCCCCATCAAATAAGTGGCTAGATGTTTCCATGACATTTAACTTACACTCGAATGTGAAATGCGGTCACGTCGCCCTCTACTCCGTTCTCCATGGGCAATCCAAATTCATGAAATCATTCTTGAAAGAACGGCAGAGAATCGGGCTGGGGATGAGACTTTCAATTTTCATTTCTCTGATGACTTCGGATCACTCCAAGGCCAAGTCATCGCGCACTACGGTAATAAGCCGGGGGCTCGGTGGGTCATGTTCTATACGTATGCCGTTCGGCCAGCCCGCAGAGACGTGGGCCAACATCATTCGTGTCCAGTAGAGACATTCACATCCCTTTTCTTCTTCTTTACAATCTTTTGTTGGATTGCCTATTGAGGAGATTTCTTGTTTCATTCGACAGGATGCTGTGAATACATGAAGTAAGGTGACGAGCTTATAGAAATGTGTGGGATAGTTTTGATCAATGGAGATCTGTGGGGAATGGCTCCTATCGATGGTCTCAGCAGAAGCGCCAAGTATGAGTTACTCGGCCGGCCTTTGAAGCAGACAATACCATTTGTCGATCTCTGGAAAAAGGGCGAGCTTGTGAGCCCTGTCAAAATTCCTACAGACCTTCGCACAGAAGGATTCTATCTGTGTGATTTTGGTTTAGCAAAGAAAATTGGCGACCTCACCACTCAGCGCGGCTACCCACCTATGCATTATTGCTCTCCAGATCGACTTCATGGTCAAGAGCCAAGTTTTGCTTGCAATATGGAGCTACATGGCTATTTTCTCTATGCTCTACCTTACATTCCTCCGTTTCCCACATCTCTCGAGGGTGGAGTTGTGAGTGGTATGGTTGAATGCTTAGGCCCACTACCTGAGCAGTGGAAAGGCCTCTACACACACCCCGGCGGACTTGATTCTGAGAAGGGGATCTGAAATAACGATACCAGTTCGCCGTGTACGTCCATTGTGACGTTCCGTGTCTGGGGTATTGGAGCACTTTGATACCTGTAACAGGTTGCGATCCATGGTTGATTAGCTTCGCTAGCGATGGTGCTGTACTGGCAAGATATTGGAGCAAAAGAAGGACACGAGAGCATCGACCGTGAGGACAATCATGACCTTTTAAATGTTTGGGGCTGAAGCGGTCATGCCCACCATATCCACAGTCAGGTTTTTACGGGTTACCATTATCAGCGCCGGCTCCTAGGAGGACTATAGATGTCAATATGTGGCCACAATAGTGGTACGTACACCAAAGATCGAATCAAGGATGTTTTAATCCAGTTGCCGTATCCACATGGTGCTCGAGCCACCAATTGGTTTGAAGCATATTCCCAGGAGCAACATGGCTGCCAAATCATTGTTGCTCATGAATAGGAACGTGTGGAAGGGAGTTCCATCTATCACGCCTTGGGGGTTGTTAGAGGGCGATGATTCAGCCGCGCCGCGCAGCCACGATAAAGATCCGACTGGCCGAGAGTCTGTTTTGTGCTTCCAGGAGCTCTGGAGCTTTTAGGTTCTTTGATCATAATCCGCTGGTACTGTGCCGATATGATAGTATCTTTTGAGTGTTCTCATTCCAGCACCTTTGACGATGTACGGGTGGTGAATGGTGTGAGAACGTTGAACATAAAACACCATTGAATACCAGCAGTATGTCTGTTTTCCGCCCATAGAAGATATCTATCTGAGCCATGTTGTTTAGTTGCTAATAGTGGGACTTGGTTAAATTTCCCACTCGAAACTCATTTCCTAATCGGCCGCGTTGGTTCACCTAACAGTGACGGTTTTGTCATGGCTTAGAGACGCATCCTACACTGGCCGTTAAACAAAACCTCAACAAAAGAGATAGAAAAGAGGTGACTACATCTTTCTGGGGACTGTTGGGTAGATTTTCAATCAACAGCAAACCGCAGTTTCCTCGAGTACAGCGGAGTGATGTATCGTAAACAGACTAAGGCAAACTACGTCGGTATCAGAAATCTTCCGTCGGCGTTCGTCCAAACTTGAGAAGATTTATGCGCAATCACGACACATATTAAGGAGGATAATAATATAGTAGCAGGAAAGTAAATCCTGGGAATAAACGGGTGATTTCCAGGGATCCGTACTGAGTGATCAGACACTTCTTTAGAGGCCATCGGCCTTGAGCATAGGAATAGTGCTTCAATTTGAAACATACTTATCTAGTAAAAGCCTCCGTGGAATGCCACTAAGACACCTAATTAAATGGTATACGGCGCCGCTCAGTATCAGCTGAGTCATTCTTTATAGAGGCAGCATTTGCGTGAAGATCACCTAGCACATATAACCTTTACAGTACCCGGAGATAATGACCTACTTCATCTTTCTGCCTTCCACTCTTTACTCTGCTTAACTGTTCCCTTGAGCGACACCTGCCTCACCTTTTCACGCCCACTAAATCTGCTCTTGCGGACACAAAATGTCTCCGAGGACTGCCGCCGCCATGATACGAATGCGTCTTGTCATTATTTCCCTTACCATCAATTGGCTGGCCCTTACTAGTCTCAGTTCGGCCATTATACACTTTGCGGTCGTCCTGCGAGACCGTGCAAAATCCGACCTCGTCACCCCGACCGACTCTATATTAGACATCACATTCCAAAATCTCATGGATAACGTCGTCGACGGCATGGTGATTGCGGCCCTAGTTTCAGCCCTGTTTTCCATCTTCGGGTTAATCCTTGTGATCTACCCGAAGTGGCTATAAGAGAACTACGCCGCTCGGTTTTACTACGGTTGCATTCAAATCATCGTGAGCATGATCGTGCTCTCCTTAGGGGGTTGGATTGCCAGCCGCGTCCACGGCTTTCAGACATCCTTCGAATTTTTTAGCAGCGAGGACCACATTCCATATTACAATATTATGTATTATGGAGCCGTTGGCCTGGCCTCTTTCGGATCTTTAGTGGTCATCGTATCTTTCGTGTGTTTTGTCGTACGTGCCTTACGCGGTCACTAGAAGAGTACGTGCACCGAGCCTACAACACATACAAAGTGGCGGTTCCAACTGCCTACTAGACTCGGGTTTTGAAGAACGAGTCAGCAGGTATTACGAATAAGAACAATCGCAAAAATTTATGATGATTTTCGAAGAATGAGGGAGGTGGAGTCCATAAACATTAGAGAGGTGCGACGGATAGGGTCATGCAAAGGAATGGACTTTACTGCAGAGTTGCGGAGATGATTAGATATTGAATTTCCTGATTGGAATCAAAGCATGTTCATCGCTTGATCGGACTAGCCGGTCGATACTGGCCGATATTGGAGCGGTGTTCTGAGTGGCTTGATATAAAAGACAAGTGATGGTTGACGATCTTCTGTGTAAATTGCAATATTGGTAAGATGCTCGTAAAATACATTACGGGGCGCTGCGCCAGACTACACAATTACCTGGTCGCATATGGCTGGATGGCCCGCAACGGAAGAGACACGCCCGACTAGACCTCTGCATAGCCCACAAAGCCCATAGCCCAACCCAACCCAACCCACAAATGGGCTGGGCTTTGGGCCCTGCCTTCGGGCCCATTGGTGGGCTATGGGCCCAAGGTGAAAGCCCACCAGGGTTATTTCGGCCCATAATGGGCCCCAAACAATGCAAACATTCCAATTTATCGCAGCTGCATAAGTAATGCATATTTCCCTGGTTATTTTAGGTATTCAAATTACCATTTAAGCTGTACATGAACCATCTTATAAGCTTATAAATTAAGTTATGGGACTGATTGATAAGATATCAAGTAAGATGCTAGGTGATTGAATAGTATATTTACATCCTGATCATGATATACATACTAATAACGCTCATACATATCATCCTCAACTCGCAACCTCTTCCTCCCTGATGTACGCTGCTGAGTATGAATACTCGGTAATTGCGGTGCAGCAGTAGCAGCAGCATCATCATCATCTCCGTCAAGACTGTCGCTATCAACATCTATCAAATCCCCAGATATATCATCCTGCTCTTCAGTATCACTAATCTCATCAATATCGACATCATCTGGCGTCTCATCCTTCTCTTCTACTAATACATCGGTCTCATTAGTAGTAAAAAATTTTCTAAATTCCTCCGATTCATGTACCTTAAGGTCAAACCTTGATGCACAGAGATAGAGCATCAGCTCTTCGATGGTATGCGGCTTTAAGGAGCCGCGGCGATAATGACAGACGTCGCGTGTAGTATTAAACAGACGCTCTACTCTAGCACCTGTTGCTGGGATTGCGAGAACATCCCTTGTAAGTGTAGCGACGGCCGGAAAACGGGATTCATTCTCTCTCCAGAATGCGAGTGGCTCGGAATCAGTTACATCTATATTAAAATTAGTATCTAGTAAATCATTTGATCAGAAGGATTGGGATTGAACATACTACCGTCAAGATACTGCGTCATTTTATCAACAACTGGCTTTGACTTGGTGTTGGATTTCTAGCTTCGAACAAGATTGTGAAGAACTGATCTTGTTGTCGATGTAGAAGACTCTTATAGACCCTAAGTACTAGCAAGACGTTGCTAGATCGGAATAAGTGCATCTTGGAATGCTGCTCGATACTGATCCCGTAGTTCTTTTGAGTCGGACCAGTCATTAGAAAGAAAGAATTGAAATCTACTATCTGGCGATAGCATTGTGCAAACTGCATAGATATGCCCTCGCATTTAATCAGTCTCTTTGTAGTAATCGCGTAGCTTTGACCAACTAGTATCGAGAGAGGTAAGCATCTGCTGTTTCTATATAACACGCTTTCGTTCTAATTGTCTCTTTGATCGTTCAATATGCTCGAATAGCAGATTATAGATCTGAAAGACAAGATGTGATGTTACATCTCGTGTCTTTGAGAGGGCAAGTGTATAATCAAAGAATGGCTTTATAATATAAAGAAGATAGTCAATCTAGCGCCATTGATTATCATTAAGGGCGAAGTCTTTCTCGTTGAACTGATTATAAAACTGTATGATAAAGATACGGAGTCTCTTAGCTCGCCGGAGTATAAGGAATGTTGAATTCCACCGAGTCTTCACATCCTAGACAAGTATAAGCCCTTGCCCTTCAGGTTGAAGTGTAATGAATGAATCCCGGCGCTAAGGACTAGCGCGGATGTAAATAGCAAGTGCTCGTATTCTTTTCAAAGTATGCGAGATATCCCTTTCTTTTGTATTCGCTCTCACGAGGGTACCTTGTTGCTCAGTCCATTTGGTCTCCGTAGTCTCATTCTAAGGGACTGCTTTTAGACGGTCAAGTAGCTGGTTCAAGCTCAATTAGATCACATGTGTAAGACAGGGGATGCGGATAATGTTAGTGTTCTTGGTATTAATTGAAGATTGTTGTAGCAAAGATTGCTATAGGGCATCAACCAGAGCCTTATTATTCGACGCATTATCGGTGGTCAATCCAAAGATCCGGTCCCGAATTTCATGCTTAGTGACCGTTTCTAGGAGGATAGCACTTAGGTTCACACCGGAATGTGTTCTATAGAGGGGTTTGAAACCAAGTAGCACCTTATAATAGACCTAGTCAGTATCGATAAAATAGCCAGTGATAGCCATAAATGCCTGCCCAAATGGAGAAGTCCAACAATCTAATGTAACTGAGATCCTCGCGTGCTTTAGTAGTAGCCTAAGTATATTCTGTTGCCGTTCTTTAACACTAAGAGACAGCCGACGTTGAACTATAGTAGCGTAGGGTATGGTCAATGGGCCTAGGGCTAACTGTGATTGTGCAATTAAGCGACGGAAGGATAGGCTTTCGATAAGTCGGAACGGGAGTCGGTTTATAGTAATAAACTGTAGGAGTTGATCGTTCCAGGCCTCTTACGAGAAAGGTGCTTCGGCTGTATAACCCTAATTAACCCTTGTTAGTAAGTAATATTAAAGGATAGGCATTTACATACTAATTGAACAAATCCCCTTATTATACCCTTTTGCTTCTACATCATTATAGCATTTCGGCACCCTTTAGTTTCTAGATGACGAGTGATAGTCGTTATGCCATAACGGCTAACCTTTCTACTAGCACCATTGGTATTGGCACTAGTTTCTTGCTTAATGCCATATAGATGCTTAAGGATAAGACCGCAACGCTTGCACATCACCTTTAGGCTCCCCGAAACCGAATGCGCTACTTGTTCAAACTATTTCTAGGTCTCCGAAGCGGAACCATGCTAGGAGTCCCATAGAAGCGTCTTGTTATTGGATCTATAGTCGGTCTGTAACCACCAATCGACCCAATTACTATAATTCATCGCGTCGAAGAGAAAGAAATCCCGTCTTTTACTAGGACCGACTCGTTGAAAGCACTTAAAGTCTGCTTCTAGAGCGATTGACGAAGGAACAGATAGCTGAAGAAACGATGAACCACCGTAGTTACTAAATGCCTGCTAGGAAGTAGTGAATGATATAGTATCGAGGTTAGGTTCGAATGGGTCGAACTGAGATGATCCAATCTCGGTTTGCTGGCTTTGCGATATGATCAGTTGACGATTTAATAATAAATTCAAGATTGTGTAGTATGAAATGTATAGTAGGAAGGGTATAGGGTTTTAGGGGGATAGGTTCAAGGTCATACATTACAAAAGGCCACCTTCTTGATAATAGGAAACAGCAAATTGATACAACAAACAGAGAATTCATCACAGTGCTGGTCTGAATTAAAACAGATGATTATAATACTCGTATATTATTAGCTATATCATACATATTAAGTGGGTTCAGCCCATCCAAAGCCTATAGATAGCCCATTCCCAGCCCATTTCCCGGTCCATTTATCAATATTATCATTCAAAATATTTCACCTAATAGCTTATAATATATTTTGAAACCTCCATTACATCGAGATTAGATGTAATATCACTTATCTATAGAAGCAGAAATAAAGAAGGAGAGATGGGCTATCTGTTGGTATAAAATTCAATCATGTAAGCCTATAAAATATGAATTTGTTACTTGAATTTATACTTCAACAGAAAGATGCACCTGTTTCAGTCTATATAAAATATATATATCTTCATGTTGATACTCAGTAATCTTCCCAGGCGCTATAATAGTATAAATTCCTAGTCAAATTGAAGCTTTTTTGTGTAATTTGTATGAAATCTGGCATCATGATGTCGAATTTAGTATAATATCCACTCAATTCCTACTTGTTATAGTGATAATATAATAATACTAAATATACAGGCTGGAACAGGTGTAAAATACAGTCATTAATCAGCTACATTATACATGCCAAGACTGTATTTGTGCATAGATATGGGCTTTGATGGGGGCCCACAGCCCAACCATCGATGGGCTGTGGGTTGGGTTGGGCTCTGAAGATTGAGCCCATAGCCCACTGCGGGTTGGGCTATGGGCTGGGGGTCTAGGCCCATTTGTGGGCTATGCAGAGGTCTACGCCCGACCTTGATGCGCTAGCCAGCGAAAAGTGATTTTTCCATGAAGCAAACGAGGGGGTCGAAGCTATTCGGGAGCGTCTTGATGCACCGCTTAACAAGTTTCTGGATTTAATCTACGACCCTAGGCCCCTTCTTCTACTGGGTTGACGGTCTTCTGATGATGCTCAGCGACGAGTTTTTCATTGACGATAACGAGATGGAGAAGGACAAAGAGCGATTTGTTTTGACTTATCGCACTATGGCAGATCTGGGCGGGCATAATCTCGGCGTTGTCTATGACCAGCAGCTCAATTGAACCTCGTTCCCAATGACTACGGATAGTATGGAAAGTGTGGAGCCTATTGACGAGCACGAGGAAATGTGGTTCCCGCTGGAGACTATTCTCACCCAATGGATCTATATGACTCGGATTGGTAAGGCTGTTCCTGGGCTTCCTGAAAAACTCCCTTCTGGTGATCCCCCGACGAATAGATCGCAATTCTATCTGTGGTCGTGGCTCCCTTATTGCGATGCCCAGATTGATAGCACTATAGCTGCGATAGAGCGCTACTCAGCTGCAGTCTAATCTCGAATGCCTCCTGACTCACTTCTGCCCATCTCTGCACCGCTCTTTACCAGTGCAGAACTGGACGCAGCGGCCGTGCCACAGGACTGCTTCAATCGCTCGCTCTTAACACGAGTTAAGACCCCAGGTTTCAAACTTATCGCCCCTGGGCTAGAGGTCCCGCATGATAAGGAGGCGTTTGTGAGGCGCCAGAGGTTTACCAACATACCTCATGAAAAGGATAGCATCCCAGGCGTCCTACTTTTTGCAGCTCCAGACCGGTTAGTGGATCTCAACCTCGAGATTCGTCGCTTGTTCTCCATCGCACATGAGAATGTGAGCATGAACGACAACGATCCTGTCCCCACTGGACTCTACAGTGAACCTGTACGTCGAGGAGATTATGATATGGAAGAGACAGGTTTTCGTCTCGTGCTTCCATTTGCACTACTCTTTCGCTCTTTCTCAGCGCCACTTTCGGGAACTAACTACTCCACTATGAGCTTAGCTCATTACTTTAGTATTTTACCAGTCGTATGTGACGGGATTGTACCATAACACCGTATAGAATCTGTTCTATAAATAACCGTGCCAAGCGCCCAATACACCTACCGTGTATTGGTGCGCCCCACCAGATACCCATTTCTCACCAGATCCCCAATTTTCAATTTGTCCAACTATGAAAAAAGTAACCACCATGACTATCTCTTGCCGCTATTGAAGCTTCATGCTCAGCCTCAGCTAAATCCCTAACCTCCTGATCTCGCTGCTGAGCTTCCAATTCCTTTGCATGCCTTGCCTGTAACCGCTTCAACTTCCTAGAATCGGCATCCTGTCTTTTCATTATCATCCTATTTGCACATATAGGTGATAGGACATTGCCTTTAGTCCCAAGAAGCGATCTCCCATTTTTTGGCTTATTTGCATCTGATTTGTGGGAGTGAGACTTCTTTAAACTCTCTTTAACCAGATCAAGCTCCTGGGATAAAAGCGTATTTGCTTGCATACTTCGTTGAATATGCCTTTTTACCTTCTGGGAAAGGTGCTCGATTTGCTTAATGTCATGAAGAAGCTTAGTATTAAGCTTCTTAACCCGCTCAATTGTATCTGGTGGCGAATTGGTGACTGAGGTTGTAAAGTCAGGGGGGGGAGATGGCGTGAAAATCCTAAGGGGGGACCCTTCAGCTTCGAGATATTTTTGGCGTAAAGGACTAAGAACCACTTCTGGATCTAGCGGGTAATACCCCTAGATTCAAATGAAGATCGGATGGTTCTTTGTGAAAGAGCTTGCTCTCTAACACCTTGAATAATTCGAAAAAAATCCCGCTTTTTACTTGCACTTCCACCCCACATAACAACTTCATTATTCATCGTACGAAAATGATGCTTCAAGCTTTGAAAAGCTTGACCATCTAGCGGCTGGCAGAGAGGGGTTGTATGGGGTAAAAAGTAGTATGGGATAATGTTTTTTTGTGTGCAAAAATCGATGAATTCGAAGGTTGTATGAGAACTATGGTTATCCATTAAAAGAAGCCTTGGCTAGACCTCCTCCGCAGAGCCCATAAAGCCCAAAGCCCAACCCACTCCAACCCACTAATGGGCCGGGTTTTGGGCCCGTTCATGAGGCCCATCGATGGGCCGTGGGCCTAAGGTAAGAGCCCACTGGGGTTTTATGGGGGCCCAATATGCCCCAAACACTACAAACTTGCCAATTCTTGGCATTTGCATAGTAATGCAGAATTTCCTAGTATTTTTGAGTATTCAAATTACTGTCTGAGACCCCCAATTGATTGAGAATTCACTGATTAATGAGATTGATAAGATTAACTGATGAGATTGACTGATGAGATTGACTGATGAGATCAACTGATTAGATATTAGGTGAGGTTAACCTATCTACATGCTAATCTAATAACGTTCATACAAATTATCCTCAACATGCTTCCTCTTCCTCCCCGATGTACGAAGCTGAGATGGTGCAGCAGTGATAGTAGCATCGTCATCATCAACGCCATCGTCATCGTCAACATCTATCAGATCTCTAGATCCAGATCCATCACCCTGCTCTTCAGTATCACTGATCTCTTCAACGTCGATATCATCTGGCTGCTCATCTTTCTCCTCCGCTAATGCCTGGATCTCATCAGAAGTAAAGAACTGTTCAAATTCCTTCGCTTCCTGTACTTCAAGGTTGAACCTTGATGTACAGAGGTACAGCATCAACTCTTCGATAGTATGCGACTTCAAAGAGCCACGGCGATAGTGGCAGACATCGCGTGCAGTGTTGAATAGACGTTCCACCCCAGCGCCCGTCGCTGGGATTGCAAGGACATCTCTTGCAAGTGCGGCAATGGCCGGGAAACGGAACTGATTCTCTCTCCAAAAGGATAGCGGCTCCGAATCAGTCACATCTGTATGAAATTAGTATCATGAACATGGGGATGAACATAGGGATGAACATAAGGATGAACTTACTGCCGTCAAGATACTGCGTCAGCTCATCCACAACTAGGCCCGGTGTCACTTTGGAGTGAGACTTCTGGGTTCGAACAAGGTTATGAAGGTATGATCTTGGTGTCGATCCAGAGATAGGCCCGTAAGGGCCTTGGGCACTAGCACTACCACTGGTAAGACGTTCCTGGATGGGAACAAGTGCCTCTCGGAAGGCCACCCGATACTGATCACGGAGTTCTTTGGTATCCGCGGAAGAACTGGAACCTACTATCCGGCGATAGCATCGTACAAACCGCATAGATATGCCCCCGCATATGATCCGTCTGCTCATAGTACTCAGACAGCTTTGAATGGCTTGCTTCGAGGGAGGTAAGCATCTCTTTCTTCCAAACGACACGCTTCCGTTGTAACTGTATCTTTGATCGTTCAATGTGCTCAAATAGCAAGTTGTAGATCTGGAAGACAAGATGCGATGTCACGTCTCGAGTCTTCGAAAGGGCAAGGGTATAATCAAAGAAGATAGTCAACCTGGCGCCACTGATCATCATTAAGTGCGAACTCTGGATAGTCATAGTGGTCACAAAACGTGACAATGAAAGAACGGAGTCTTCTTGCCCGACGAAGCATTAGAAACGTTGAATTCCATCGAGTCTTGACATCCTGGACTAGCATCAGCCCTAGGGCTGGAAGTTGAAGCTTTAGGAATGACTCCCGACGTTAAGGACTGGCCCGGATAAAGACTGTGAGGTCTCGCATCCTTTGTAAGGTATGGGATATGCCCCGGTTCTGTGCGTTCACCTTGGCGAGGGTCATTTGACGATCTGTCCATTGAGTCTCAGCATGTTCATTCTTTGGGACTGCTTTTAAACGATCAAGCAGTTGATTCAAACTCAATTGGATAACATGGGCAAGACAGGGGATACGGATAACGTTGACACCACTGGCTAAAGACTGTTGCAGTAAAGACTGCTGTAGCGAAGCAACCAGAGTTTTGTTGTTTGAGGCATTGTCAGTCGTCAATCCAAAGATTCGGTCCTGAATTCTATGCTCAGTGAGCGTCTTTATAAGCACAGCATTTAGGTTTGCACCTGAATGCGTACCATGAAGGGGTTTGAACCCGAGCAGCACCTCGCGGTAGATCCAGTCGACGTCGATAAAATAGCCAGTGATAGCCATAAACGCCTGCCCAAATGGAGATGTCCAACAGTCCAACGCAACCGAGATCTTCGTATGCTCTGGTAGCATCCTGAGTGTATCCTGCTGTCGCTCTTTGACCCGAGCAGATAGCTGACGTCGGATTGTATCAGCGGATGGTATGGTCAGAAGGCTTAGAGCTGACGCCGATCGTAAAATAAGGCGACGAAAGGCTGCATTTTCGACGAGTTGGAAGGGGAGCCGGTTAATAGTGATGAACTGTAAGAGGTCGTCGTTCCAGGCATCTTGCGAGAATGGTTGACCGTTATCCTAGGTAGAAATCACTGGTTAGTAGTGCTATAATATGATACACCTTAACATACCGCTGTTTGAAGAAATCTTGTTATTCCATCCCTCTGTCGGCGTCCACTCGTGGCCTTTTGGCAGGCTGACGTCTGAAGATGACGGGTAATAGTCGTCGTTCCATGACGACCAACCCTCCCATTGGCATCCTTCTTGGTAGTATAAGGGTGCTCAAGAATTACATTGCAACGCTTACACATAACCTTTGGGCTCCCAGTGCCCGTATGCGCCACTTGCTCAAACTGTTCCCAGGTCTCCGAAGCGGAACCATGCTGCGACTCCCAAGCGATCTTGTTTTTAGATCCATAGTCAGTCTCCAACCACCAATGGACCCAGTCGCTATGATTCATCCCGTCGTACAGAAAATACTGGCCTCTCCTGCCAGGGCCGACACGTTGGAAGCGTTCGAGGGGATCTAGGGCGATAGACGATGGAACAGACGGCTGAACGAACGCGAAGCTATCAACCTGCCGAGAGGTAGACGGGGTAGCTGGGCAATTCGAAGGGGTAATAAACGATAAGTCTAAAGGCTCAGAGTCGAACAGGCTCAACTGAGAGGATCCAAACTCAGTTTGCTGGCTTTGCGACATGATTAGTGACGGTCAATAGGTTCAGAATTAGATGAAGGGCTTTTAGGGGAATGGCTCCAGGGGAATCAGGGTTAGGGGGAAGAATTCGACATGACCTACCTTCTCAACGAGAGAACTGTCGACGCGGTAGGCAAACAGAGGATGTAAATAGAGGATTATACTCCGTAGTGCCAGTTGACATTAAAACGAAGGGTCGTAATACTAGCATTTCATTGGCTAGATCATGCATATTCAGTGGATTCGACCCATCTAAAGCCCAAGAAAGCCTATAGATAACCCATCTCCCCGCCCATTTTACAATTTGTTCACCCAAAACATTTCACCCCATAGCTCATGAGATATCTTAAACCCTCTCTCACCTCCGGCATAGCTAGAATATCACGTTTTTCCAAAAGCAGACGTCGAGAGTAGAAGACTGGCTATCTTTTGATATAAAATATAATCCTATAAACCTACAATTTACGAATTTGACCCTTGAATTTATAGTTCAACAGAAAGATGCACTTACTTCTACATACATGAGATATATATCTCTACATGTTGACACTTAGTAATTCTCTAAGTGCCAGAAAATCTTAGTGAAATTGGACTTTTTTTGGGTAATCTTGGTAAAGTGTAGTGCCTTGTGTAGCTAGTTTTATCTATGATCTTGATTACCAGGTCGTCGCCGTTGAATCTTGATATCTTGATCATTGGAGTAGTTGAACCCCCGGATTGGGCTTGGTAAAACGTCGGCCCGAGGTATGGGCTTACAGACTGGAACATACGTAAAAACAGGCATTAATCATCAGGTTTATGAGCGCCAAGGCTGTAGTTATGCACAGAAATGGGCTTTCTTGGGGGCCTTATGGGCCCCCACTAATGGGCTGTGGGCTTGGTTGGGCCCGGAGGTCGGGCCCATTTATGGGCTTTGCGGAGGTCTAGCCTTGGCCAATTCGGTAGCCAGTTTCATCCCAATTGTAAATCTCATGCGGTAGGAGTTTATGCCGTTTCACTACCGTAGAGAGCTGGTTAAACCAGAGAAGCAAAGCACCGTAATCCTCGCTATCAACCCTCGATTTTTCGTTGGGTTTTTGGTTGATATAATTGAGCGTAGGGGGCAGTCTTGTGAGGAAGCGATATACCCAGTTGTGGCTAACCACCCGATCGGAACCAGCATTTTTTAAAAGCCGATTGGCAGCCTTTTCAATCTCTTCTGGGGGTTGAGATATATAGAAGTTATCTAGGGTTTGAACCCAGCTAACCAATGCTTTTTCCTGCATTTCATTTAATGCTTTGGTTGTTTTAGCGCGGTCGGAATTGGACTGTCGGCCCTGGATTCGGCCACGTAGTTGATCACGAGAAACCCCAAAATCCCGCGCTCATTTAGCGACGTTGGACTTGGTAGATTCATGGAAGGCTTTGACGGCTTCCTGGATTCGATCCTCGGTTTTTTTGATTGAATTTGACATCGTGGCGTGGTAGAAAAATGTATGGGAAGTTGATAAAATGTAAAAAATTGGGGATCTGGTGAGAAATGGGTATCTGGTGGGGCGCACCAACCCCCAGTATGGGTGGTGGGGCGCTTGGCACGGTTATCTGTCGACGATCGATGAATCGGTAAGGTCTCGTATGTAGCAATGAATTATCACTAAACAGCTGTCCCTCCTTAGTCTCTCCGTCTGTCGGTTCTTCATCCATCCTAGAACTCAGGGGCTTGCTTCTTAGTAAGCTACTTTTCTGTGGATCCTCTCCGAAACGGGCACTAGTGGTAATCTACCACTGACAATATCTCTCCTTCGAGAAAATTCGCTGCAAATAAAGCAAACCGCCGTCTTCTACTTCCCGATTACCGTAAAGCGCCTATTTAGAGGGGAGGGCGGGTTGTTATTTTTTTGGATATCACAGAAGAACGTAGGCAATACATATTGGGTACACTATGATCATTATTGGCGAGTGAGAGGTAAAGGAATAAATGACAGAAATGCAGTGACACCAGTGAGGACTTCTCTTTGGAACGAAAGAGCTCTGGTGGCGATGGTGGAGTAGGTACTCGAAATGAGGAATTCCTCCTGAATGTTTCGATGTGGGGAAACTCGTTCGGGTGGAGTTGCGGTGTTCGCAGCTTTCGAGATAGAAGATGGGCGAGGGTGGGTTGGGAAAGGCTTCTTGCCCGCCCCAGGGCCTGGAAGCTGAGAATTTATCCTCTCTGTCGCAGCGTTCTATTAATTACAGTAGCGCCCGATATCGCCTTCCATGTTGTGTCATGTACAGAATGGATCGAAATTAGCTTCACCAGATTATCTGCACCTCATGTTGACCAGCCAGATCGGTGATCTGATCGCCTCAACATTATGTATATAATTGGCTAGATCAGTGCTTCTAAAATCCCCGATTTGGTCTAAACCAAGGCCATTTTGTGCTAACACTCAAGTCAGATGTCTGCTGTCCCACCCACTCTGTCTTAAAACTAATCCAAATAATCCTGTATAAGGATATGAAACTGTCTTTGCTCAATTTCGCAAACGAACTTCTACAAGTTATCGCCCAAAACTTGGAGTCACAAAGAGATATCAACGCTCTAGCCCAAACGAACCGCCAATTTTACCTTTTCTTTAATTCCTACCTTTATTTCTCAAATATTCGACATAAGAACGGTTCAGCTATGGTTTGGGCTGCAGAGCACGGACAATTACAAACAGCCCGTAATCTGATCTGGGAAGGGTTTAATGTGCAATCCCATACCAATCTTGGTTTTATTCCTCTTCATCTTGCAGCCTTTCATGGGCAAGCGGACATAACCTCACTTTTGCTGGCACATGGGGCTGATCCCGAGAAAAAAGGCTTGTTTGGACGTACCCCGCTGCATGAGGCAGCACGCAGTGGCCATAAAGCAGTGGCCAAGCTCTTGATCACGCAAGGGGTTGATCTGGAACCTACAGATTCAGATGGTCGAGCCCCTTTGCATGCCGCAGCATGCGGTGGCCACGAAGCAGTAACCAATATTCTGCTTGAAAAGGGCGTTGATCTACAATCAATGAATTCTAAAGATTTACTGGGTTGCACACCACTGCATTATGCAGCACAGGGAGGCTATGAGGCAATAATCATGCAATTAATAGCAAAAGGGGCTGACCTAGGATCTAAAGATTCATATGGCCGCACCCCACTGCATCTTGCGCTACGCAACGGCCATGAAACTGCGGCCCGGCTTTTGATAGAAAGTGGCGGTGATATGCAAGTTTGGACTCGGGGGATTTGAATGCATTTGGAACTGCGACGGTCAAGAACCATTGTTCTCCGCCTTCGCATAAGGGTGCTCCTCGCGCTTATCCTCTATGGCAACAACTATATTGCCGGAGATAACGCAATCTGTTCGCGAAGCCTTACTTGTGCCCTCTTTCACTTAGTTGCCCCAATTTTCAAGAGATATATTGATAGAGCTTAGAAAGGGTTGTTCAGGCTTTACAATATGTGTGTGTGTGATTCATTTACGCTGTCCTCTCGTCGAAACGATATGCAGCCTACCACTACTATATATATCTTCCTATGTACATGTATCGTGTACCACTTCCTAAGCGAACTTAGAGCCTCGCCGAGGCCTGCCGTGGCTTCTGTGCCGTTGTTATGTGCTGCCCTTATGGAGCGCGACTTTGAAACCGTTGCGATGCTTCAGCAGAATCCAAGCCAGCCTCCACTGTCTTGGTCCGTGAAGCGCTGTCAATCTTACCTCTTCCTTCATCTCCTGGTCCCCCCAACAGTGTTGATATGCTGTTGAAAGCGTCGCCAAACTTTCCTCGGAGCTCTCTCCTTAACATTCCCAATCTTGGGCAATCTAACAACACGTGGTGAAATCTTTCCCGTTCGCCACAGATGCACAGATCGTCGTCTCGGAATCGGAAAGCCTTTGCGTATGTTGACAACCAGCAGTGTCCGGTTCGCAACTGCGTTAATAAGTACGCTCGATTTCTAGGCAGAGAGCCGTAGAGCCGTCTGGTGTACTTGGCCGGTAGTGAGTCGTCGATCTGACGCAGATGGGCGCCGGTGCTCGACTCGTTCCATTCTTCCTTCCACTGGGCGTGGATCCCTTGTCTGATGTGTGCTCTCTCGCGTGATAGCAGAAAGCAAAATGGGTGTGTTTTCCCCGGTATGGCTGCCTCTTTGGCCAGCAGATCGGCGGTGTCGTTCCCGGGCATTTCGCAATGTCCAGGTATCCACTGTAGTTGAATCGATGTGCCGTGTGTCTTGGTGTTCCTGGCTGCTTGCAGAATGGCATGGATGATCTGTTGTCCCGACTTGTTCCTGGAATCTGGACTGCTTGCAGGGCCGACTTGCTGTCACTGAGGATAGTGGCAGATCTCACCCGCGTATGGGATGTTCTCCAGTGTCGGAGGGCGACCTTGTTGATGACGTTGATGGCATACAGGATCCCAATGAGCTCGGTAGCGTGGACGGACCATCGATCCATGGGTCCAACCTGAACTTGTATGCTGTCGGTTGTTATTAGCGAGTCATTCAGCACGGCCGCTGCGGCAGCCAGATGACCTTCTCGTCCCGAGGCATCCGAGTACACCACGATGTCCGCGGTTGAACGTGCAGCCTCGGCTCTTTCTATCGCGACCTCCCTGTCTGATTCAATCTCGATTTCCGAGAAGGCTTCTTTTCGCCATGGTGGTAGCGGGGTTGGGTCAATCATTTCGATTTCCTGCAGTCTCTCCAGGTTCATGGTTTTCAAGGCTTCTGATAGCGGGAACCGAGCGAACGATCCACGATTGTTGCGTCTTCTCTGGGCCCGACGTAGGGCGCTCCATATGGGATGTTTTTGGGGTAGGGTGTGCAGTCTAGTGATGGTATTTTGTGCGCGGTAGCGCAGACGAAGGTGAGTTGGCAGTACATGTGCTTCTACGTCAAGAGTGGCTGTTGCAACCGTTCGAAAGGCAGATAGGACGCGGATGAGAGCCGCCCGTTGCACAGTACGGAGGTGTCGTAGATGGGTCTTGTCTCGAAGTGGATCATGCCAGACGGTCGAGGCGTAGTCGACAACCGGTGTGACGCACGCTTCGTAGAGCTGTCGCATTTGCTCTGGGCGGAGCTGTCGCAACCCCCCAAGCGCGATATTGACCTTGGTGGCTCGTTTGACGGCTTGCTGTACGTGTTCTTTCCACCGAAGCTCATGATCGAAGATTACCCCCAAGAGTTTGGCGGTCGTAGATGGCTTGATAGCATTATCATTCATGATAAGCTGGTCCTGGCTCTGTTCTTTCCTCTTCCGGGTAATGTGAATAAGCTTGGTCTTTTCCGCAGCGAAGCAGGACCCAGTTCGCCGGGCCCAGGTTTCGATCCGGGGGATGTCTTCGGACTGGATTTTGGCCAGGTTCTCTTCAGCGCTCCAGCCAACTCGCCAGCGGAAGTAGTCATCGATAAAGGCGGATGCCCCACCGTGAAAATCGACCGGCTGGTCGACCAGATCGCAGTTGAAGAATGCAAAGAGGATAGGTGACAGTGGAGAGCCTTGCGCGAGCCCGGCATTGTCTAGCGGCACCACCTCGGTTTGGTAATCGTCGAACCCAATGCTAGCCTGGCGCCCGCTCATGAAGCTCGCAATCCATGCTCGCGCCACCGAGGGGATACCCTTGCACTGGAGGCGAATATCCAAGCTTGTCTTGTTCACCCCATTAAAAGCTCCCTTCAGGTCAAAGGCCACCAGTGTGACGACCTTCTGTCTGTACCACGCCCGGTCGATTGCGTTAGCAAGCATCAGGAGGGCTTGCTCGGTTGTTCGTCCCGGGCGCCCTCCGAACTGAGTATCCGGTAGAAGACCGTACTGCTCCGCGAAGAAGGACAGCCGCCGGGCCATCACCGCTTCCAATAGTTTTCCGAGTGTGTTAAGTAGCGAGATCGGGCGGTACGCTCCCGGTAGCGAGTAGTCTGGCTTCCCGGGCTTCCGCAGGACTACAATTCGCGCGCTTCTCCATCGCTGTGGGTGGTATCCTAGTTCAATCGACGACATGAAAATCCGAGTGATTATGTTTCCAAGATATTTCCAGAGACGTTTCCAGATCAACGTGGGCAGACCGTCCTCGCCTGGTGCTGTTGTGCCTTTGGCAGCCTTGAGCGATCGATAGATTTCAATCTCGGAGATTGGATGCCATCGGATCTCGGTGGGGGCGTGAGCAGGCGCCTCTTGCGCAGGCGCCATCGACGGGAAGAACGAGCCCATGAACGCTTGAGCTTTCTCCGCGTTGTCAACTAGCTCCCTGTCGCCGACCTTGAGGGCCGGAATGCAACCCCAGGAGTCTCATGGTTTCATGTACGTCGCTGCTTTCCATAATTTCTCTTCACCTGCTTCATCTAGGAACTGCTTCCAATGGGATGCCTTAGCCTTCTCAATGGTCCGAGTCCATGCCCGCCGTGACTGGCGCATGCCCTCGAACATAGCCATGGTGCGGTAGTCGGCTCGTCCGACTTCAGCGCAGCTCTCTTGCCACTTGCGTCATAGGCGGTTCACATCTTTCTGTTGGGCTTTAAGGTCGGCAGTGAACCACCGTTTGGAGTACGGGGAAGGTCTCAGATCGGATGTATGCTTGTCGACTGCATTCGCGGTCGTGCTTGTAAGTCTCTCTATGACTGTGTCTAGCGCCTCGGCTGAGTCTAGCTCCCCGGGTTGCTCGAAGAGTTCCTGGATCTCCATTCCAATCTTCTCCCAGTCCGCTCGGTCGTACGCCTTTCTCGTCTTGGTGATGGGGTTGCGCCGCGCTTGGAGGTACCATTCTGAATAAGTGCCTCGGTGATCTGAACCATAGTTGTCGTGGTAGAGGTGGCATTTGATGAGTAGGTCTGGTCTGTTCGTCACCGTCTGGTCGATCGTGGAATTTCTCCCTGGGTGGCTTAACGACCAGAAGGTCGCGGTTCCCCGAGGGAGGCAGCTTTGAAGGTCATGATCATGAAAGAAATTGATCAGTTCGCCGGCGTCCTCGATGAATCGAGGTTGAATGTGGTTGCTCCCCCATGCTGGGTGGTGGCGGTTGAAGTCTCCGGCCAAAATAAGGCTAAAGGCTCTGCCGTCGTCTCGTTTGGTGTTTTGAATCGTGTCGTGGATTGCCGATAAGGTGGCTTCCGCGGATGTTCCATCAGGCGTGTGCATCGGTACGGGCGGAATATAGACTGAGAAGATCAGGATCTGGGAGTCGGCCGTCCAGATCTTGATCGCCGTCAGATCCGGGTGGTTGCATCTCACTTGTCGGTGAGAGGAGGTTGAGAGCTTGCGATTGACATAGATCAGGCTTCGGAATCGAACCGAATCGCTCTCCACTGTAGGTTGATATAGTCGCCATGCGCTGTGGTTCACGTGTGTTCGGTAGGCAGTGATCGACGGTTCCTGGATAAGGAGCACGTCCAGTTTCTGGCTTTGATGGTCGTTGACGAGAGCTTCCATGCCCGCCCTCGATTTCATTGTATTTAGTTGTAGAATTCGGAGGTTGAAAAGACGCGAGATGCCAACCGAGGACGATGAGGATCACCCATTGGACGCCAGGAACCCAATCCACAAGGAGGCTATTCTTTCGCGGTGTTCGAATGCCGAGACACACGGTGGTACAAGCCCATTGTGGCTTGGGCTTTGTATCGGGTAGACACATCAGCACATGGCCTGATGCACAGAGTCGATTGAGAGAAGGGCCAAGGTAGACGATATGAACCTTTCGGTGACTCATCGTCAATGCCACCAGTAGTCCTGTGGAAGTGATAGACAGCATGCGATCGCATCGGTATAGGCGACCCGAGCAGACAAGACACTTGCTTGCTTCGCATTCGACTCGAGTGACGCGAATATGAGGGGCGTCCTGTTGTACGATCCAAGTCAACAAGGCTTGAACCACTTGGACGAGTTGTTATGACTTACCTGTTCATAAAGTTTGCAGAATGTTCGCTTGGGACGAGACGATCAATTAGCTTCGTGGTCATATCTTACCGACGAGATCACTTACAATTGTCTTCATCAATGCAGTCACCATTCATGCCATGTGGACATGATGTTGTATCCAGTTCGTCGCACTCTCCGGCTGTCGCTTCGAAGAAGCTGCGCTGAGTGCACCGGGCAACTTCTGAAAGCCAAAGGCGCGTGACGAACCCACTTGTGACGAGAACTCGTACAGTCGTAACGAGATAAGACCTCGCGATGGGGACGGCGAGAGGTTCATACACCCCGCCGTTCATGGGGTGAAGGCGGTGAGGTCGAGGGCGGAAGACGCGATGGAGCACGCG